TTCTTCCAAGGCCTTAAAGCTTGATCTGCACCTGGCCATTTTGTTTTCACATGGTTGTCTCTGTCTGCCTGCCACAGTCTTCTCTTCTCATAAATACACCAACCATATTAAATTAGGGTTCACCCTAATGACTTCATTTTCAGTTAATGACCTTTTCAAAGACTATTTCCAAATACAGTCACATTCTGGGGTACTGAGGATTAGGAATTCAACATATGAATTTGGGGGAAACAAGTCAACCCACAACAGGTACCTTAAAAGGTAACTTTTTTTCCTTTCCTTTTTTTATTTTTATTTTTTTAAATTACAAAATATATATTTTTTTATTGATTTTTTTACAGAGAGGAAGGGAGAGAGAGGTATAGAGAGTTAGAAACATCGATCAGCTGCCTCCTGCACACCTCCTACTGCGGATGTACCTGCAACCAAAGTACCATACATGCCCTTGACCGGAATAGAACCTGGACCCTTCAGTCTGCAGGCCAATGCTCTGTCGTCTGCACCAAACCAGTTAGGGCTCCTTTTTTTCTTTTAAGTGTTCATTGTTTATTATTGTTTTGGCTGCATTCTCTACAATTTCAGCAGTATTTATTTATTTAAATGCTCATCTGGGGATATTTTTCCATTGAGATATATATATATATATTAGATAGAGAGAATGGAAGAAAGAGGAAAAGTCAGAGAGAAATATCAATGTGAAAGAAACACATCAATTTGTTGCCTCCTGCAGGAGAACTGACCAGGGCCTGAGTTGGGTAGGGGCCTGTAACTGAGGTCCATGCCCTTGACTGGAATTGAACCCAGTACCCTTCGGTTCACACAGGCCAACAGGATTTTCATTTTATCAATGATTTTATAAGACAACTTCTTATCGGTTCAGAACATAGCATCCATCATACCATCTGTCCATGGCTCTGTTTACAATTTCAATATTTATTAATTTATTCATTCATTCCAAATATGTCTACTTATTTCTACCATTTTCAGAGGGTCCTAAAATGATAACCATAAAATTTTTAAATAGTAAATTGTACTTTATCAAAATGAAAAATTTCTACTAATCAAAGGTATCATTAAAGAAATGAAAAAGCAAGCAATGAAGGCAGAAAGCATTCCCCATACATATATCTAATACAAGATGTGTAAGGTACAGAATATTGTGGATGAAAAAGGGGGTTCTATGAAAAGAATGCTCACGGGGTGATCTGATCATGAAGTCCTAACTAGGCATGTTATGGTGGATAGTAATGCCCCAGACATATAACTTCTTTAGTTAGACGCTTATCTTTGCTCAAGCAAGCCCTGACCTTTGCTTCTGTGCCTCTAGATTGACATTCCTTGGAAATACCTCTTTTCAGACCTTATTATACTTCTAAAATATGTGACCACCAATACAGACCTGTTCTTCTAAAGTGTGACCACTCTCCAGAGAGCACATAACCTTAACTATTCTGTAACCAGATTCCCCAGCCTTGCTTTCTCCTACCTTCTGGTAATCTTTCATACTTTCCCTCCTTTCTTTCTTTTTTAAATTTATTTTTTATTGTTAAAAGTATTACAGATGTGCCCCTTCCCCCCCCCCCAATACCTCCCTTTACCCTGATTCCTCCTTAATTTCAAATGCATAAAAGAAACTGCAACTGTTACTATCTGAAGCATTTTTAAAAAATATATTTTTATTGATTTCAGAGAAGAAGGGAGAAGGAGGGAGATTGATACATCAATGAAGAGAGAGAATCATTGAGTGGCTGCCTCCTGCCTGCCCCCTACTGGGGATCAAGCCCACAACCTGGGCATGTGCCCTTGACCAGAATTAACCCGGGACCCTTCAGTCCACAAGCTGATGCTCTATCCACTGAGCCAAACCAGTTAGGGCTCTTTGAAACATTTATTTCTGTTTAGATCTTGCTTCCAGGTATATCCTGTTTCACTCAAATAAATTTTTATAAAAACTCTACAAAAAAATAATAAAATGACTGACACAAAGAAAAACCTAGATTTAGACATACTTGTGTTGGCAATATATATAAGTACTAGAGGACAGGTGCATGAAATTCATGCACTTGGAGCAGGGGGGAGGATCCTTCAGCCCAGCCTGTGCCCTCTCGCAGTCTCCAGGAGTCCTCGGGGAAGCAGGCCTAAGTCATCAGTTGTACATCCTTAGCACTGCTGCAGAGGTGGGAGAGGCTCCCACCAATGCTGCTGCACTAGCCAGCCATGAGCCCAACTTCTGGCTAAGTGGCACTCCCCCTGTGGGAGCGCACTGACCACCAGCGGGAAACTCCTGCATTGAGAGTCTGCCCCCAGGTGGTCAGTGCATGTCATAGCAACCAGTCGTTCCACTGTTCAGTTGATTTGCATATTAGCTTTTTATTATATAGGATTCCTACAAATAAAAAAAGAGCGTAAGAAACCACCTGATTAGCCTGACTAATAGTGAGCAAAAGACTTGAACAGGCTTTTCACAAAAGGTATCTAAATAGCTTATAAGGTATACATCTAAAAATATCAACATCATTAGTCACTAGGGTAATGTACATCCAGTAGAAAGGCTAAAGTGTAAAGATTGACACTGTTACAGAAGACCAGGAAAAAAACCAAGCCATGCTTAGAGAAAGGGAGTTACATTTTATTAAGCGCAAGGGCCAGAGAAACATGTTTCTTTCAAATTCTGGGCTCCCCCACATGGAGAAAACCTTTTCTATTTATATTTTCCTAGCTCTTTTGTCTCCCAAATTTGGAATGAGACTTCCAGGCCTTCTGGGAAAGAAGGCCTACGTGCTGGGAAGGGGCCATGAGACCATATCTCAAGGCCTGGCCTGGTGTCAGCACTGACAACTCTGTCTGGGGCATAGTCCACAGCCTCTCTGGAATGGGAGTAGTCTTATTTTCCTTATTATTTAAACAAACAAGCGTTTACAGAGGCCAAAACAGCAGGGTTAACATTTCAAACCGCAGTTTTTATATAAGATTGATGCTTCAACACCAGTTGTTGAAAATGATGTGGGACAATTGGAACCCTCACACATTAGTAGCATTAGAATGTAAAAATGGTAATACTACTTTGAAGAACTGTTTAACAATTTCTTATTAAGTTAAACATATGCTTGTCATTTGACCCCCAAGTTCTGCTCCTAAGTGTTTACCCAACAGAAAGGAGAACATGTCCACAGAAGACTTGGTTGAGAATGTTCATAATAACTTTACTCAAAATAGTTACAAATTGAAAATAAAATAAATATCCACTGTAAACAAAAGTCTGGAGCTATAATTAAAAAAACAAATTAGCCTGGCCAGTATGGCTCAGTGGCTGAGTGTTGACCTATGAACCAGGAGGTCATGGTTCGATTTGTAGTTAGGGAGCATGCCTGGTTGCAGGCTTGATCCCAGGTGGGGGATGCAAGAGGCAAGCAACCAATCAATGATTCTCTCATCATTAATGTTTCTATTTCTCCCTCTATACTCTTTCCTGCCTCTCTGAAATCAATTTTTAAAAATTAAAGAGAGTTTATTCAGATAATGATTTGCTCTTAGTGCAAAGCAAAAATACATTCCAAAATGGAGGGCATAGGACCGGGTTTACAAAGGCAAAGTCAAAAGGAGTTGTTGATCAGAGATGGCTTTCTAGGGTTAACAAGACCATAAACTAATATAATTGGTTTTCTGATTTAGTGGGGGGAAGGGGAGCAACTGAGATTTCAATGGTTGGCTGCCTCAGTGATCAAGCAAGTGGGGTTGTGAGGTGAAAAGAAAGGTAATATAACCGAGCATTTACCAGGTCCTAATTAGCTCTGGCTTAGAGAATAAACAGGCTGTCCAACGTGGATACCCCATGGAGGTCAGCTTCCCAGGCTCTGCCCAGCTGGCCTAGGAAACAGGGTTCTGCCCCTGATGTACCATCCCTTCCACAGCGTTGGAGAGAAAGCCAGCCTTGACTCTGACCTGCTTATCCCACAGCTTTTCAGAGTCCTGTGGACAATGGCTGAGGAGACACACCATGCAGGAAATATCTAGTATACAAAATTAAAGATATAAATGTTTATAAAGTAAAAATAAATAAATTTTCAAAAGGCTGTTTTTTGTCTTTTTAAAAATCTTTATTATTATTATTTTTTTAATATTTCTGCCAAAACTGGTTTGTCTCAGAAGAGAGAGCATCAGTCTGCGGACTAGAAGGTCCCAGGTTCGATTCCGGTCAAGGGCATGTACCTTGGTTGCTGGCACATTCCCAGTAGGGGGTGTGCAGGAGGCAGCTGATCGATGTTTCTCTCTCATCAATGTTTCTTTCTAGCACTCTCTCTTCCTCTCTGTAAATAAATTATATATATATATATATTCCCCTCTTCCCCCCATTAACCCCTCTAGCCCGCCCCTGCCCCAACCCCCAGGCCTTTACCACTCTATTTATTGTCTCTGTCCATAGGTTATGCATGTATGCACACAAGTCCCTTGGTTGATCACCTCCCGTTCACCCTCCCAAAGGCTGTCTTGGATCACACAATGACAGAACAGGGATAATCCTCTAACAGCGATGGGGGGGATCACAGCTTATCAAACAGCACAGCCCTCAGGAGGGGTGCTGCTCCTTCTGCAGGCAGCTTTGGAGCCCCTGCCAGCAAAGGTAGGCTCTCTGCGCAATCACGCTCCGGCCGGGAGGGGGCGGCCTCGCCACACCACCTTGGAGCCACTTAGCTTCGCGGCTCCACTCGGGGGCGCTCAGGTCTAGCTCGCGAGCCGTCCTTCCCCTCCGGCGGAACCCTCTGCCGGCTCCCCGGTTTCCGGGCGTGCGGTGATCGGGAAACACCGAGCCCTTCCCGGCGGCGCTTCCGCTCCGGCCTCGGCGGTGCGCTGGGCCCCAGGGGGACTCTGCCGAGCGCGGGAGCGGGAAGCGACCCCGTCCCCGCGCGGATCCCCGCGGCGCCCCCGCCCCTGCGCGGGTCCGTGGCCGGAGCTCGGGCCGCATCCCGGGCCGCGGGCCGGGCGCCCGGGGGAGGCGGGCGATGGTGCAGATGGAGACGCAGCTCCAGAGCATTTTTGAGGAGGTGGTGGTGAGTGCGAGGGCCCGGCGGCCGGGGCGATGGCGAGGCTCCGCAGCCTCCCGCACCGTCCGCTGCCGGGGGGGCCCCAGGGGCTGGGGCTCTGCCCGGGGCTGGTGGGGAGGACTGGCCCCGGCTTCCCCGGGGATCGTTTCCTCCAGGGGGCCCCGCCTTTTCATTCTTGTAAAATGTAATTCATATGTTTGTTTGTTTTACAGAAAACGGAGATTATAGAAGAGGCTTTCCCTGGGTGAGTACCGGCATGGCAGGCTTTTGTGTTTCTATGCGACGACATCTTTGCACGATTTTGCATAGTTTTCACCGTGGAGATTTATAAGATCCACTGTTCTAGTGGAATTATTTATATGTTGAGTTACCTTTTTCTTTTTTTAAAACGCAAACTTAAATTTGATTGAGAACACCCATTAACAGTGAAATTGACAATGTTTACCATTCTTTAAACGCCCTACACATTATTAATCTACACTGTATAGTTCCAATCAACTCCATTCTTAGGCTCAATTGAGTTACCTTTTTCAAACTGGTGGTCAGTGATGCGGTTCTTGTTTCTAGAATGTTTATGGACACGCCCGAAGATGAGAAAACGAAACTCATTAGCTGTTTGGGAGCCTTCCGACAGTTTTGGGGTGGCCTTCCTCTGGTGAGTACGCATTTTTTATACACTCAGCTGATGGTTTTAGACCCCTTCTTTTTTTAAAAAAATTTACTTTGTTGTTGCTGTTAGGGTGTTTCCGGGAAGGGAGAGATAACATTGTCATCAGCTTTGATTTGTCCTTTCTGGTTTCCATTCGATCCAGTTTGCATTCTTCCAGTGGAGAAGCTATATATCGATATTGAGAAGCCAGGTTGATAGCAAAGATGTTAAAAATCTCCCCCGTGTTAGACAATATAACACCATTTTCACCCTATTCTGATTTATTTGGTGCCTTTGAAAACAGCTGTCTTAGGGATTATAAAGAATAAAATTTTCATTCATTTTCTCAGCAAAATAATTGGTACAGTATAATGAAGCTACTACTATATTTAAGATACAGAAATGCCACAGAAAGGATGCATGCTTTTATAATCTTCTGTACTAATAAAAGGGTAATATGCTCCCGGGAGACCTTCTGGACGTCCTTTTGGATGAAGCCATGGTGTCAGGGCCAAGGCAGAGGCGGTTTGGGACGATCAGGCCAGGAGGGGAGAGAGGTTGGGGGCAAGCAGGCTACCAGCCGGGGACAGTTAGGGGCAAGCAGGTTGGTGGGGGGGATGGTTGGGGCGATCAATCTGGCAAGAGGGGGCAGTTGAGGGTGAGAAGGCTGATAGGCAGAGTGGTTAGGGGCAATCAGGCAGGCATGCAGGCAAGCAGTTAGGAGCCAGTGGTCAGGGATTACAAGATGAATGTCTGACAATCAGACATCCCCCGAGGGTTCTCAGATTGGAGAGGGTTCAGGCCAGGCTGAGGGACACTCCCTTCCCCGTGCACGATTTTTGTGCACCAGGCCACTAGTAAGGATATAAAGCTATAAGAAAAGTGAAGAGCCCTAGCTGGTTTGGCACAGTGGATAGGGCGTCAGCTTGTGGACTGAAGGGTCCTGGATTCGATTCCGGTCAACGGCACATGCCTGGGTTGCAGTCTTTATCCTCAGTAGGGACGTGCAGGAGGCAGCCGATCAATGATTCTCTCCCATCATTGATGTTTCTCTCTTTCCCTGTCCCTTCCTCTCTGAAATCAATAAAGATATATTTTCAAAAAATAAAAGTGAGGAAAAGAATAGTAACACTTAGTGACAAAGAGCAGTCACCAGGAAATGTATTCTTGAAAAAGGCAAACTATGTGGTCCTTTTTTTTTTTTTTTTTTATAAAGTAAGCAACACATATTTTCCTTTTTTAATATATTTTATTGACTTTTTACAGAGAGGAAGGGAGAGAGATAGAGAGCCAGAAACATCGATGAGAGAGAAACATTGACCAGTTGCCTCCTGCACACCCCCCTTACTGGGGATGTGCCCACAACCAATGTACGTGCCTGCAACCAACGTACATGCCCTTGACCAGAATCGAACCCGGGACCTTTCAGTCCGCAGGCCGATGCTCTATCCACTGAGCCAAACCGGTTTCGGCTGTGTTAGAGTTTTCTATTGACCACAAATATTATATGTTAATGATATCTTACTCCTTTAGAGGTCCCATGAAATAAAAATGGTGGGAATTTTAATGTTTATAATTGTAAGGTTTTATGCTTAATACTAATATAATTGAAGTGCTAAGCCTGAATTTTTTTTTATTGTCTTTATCAATGAATGTTTATAGTAGAGTATCTCATTCATAGTCTTGATACACAGTACTCCCAGGTGTGTCATATTAGCTGTTTGTTAGTTACAAGATATGACTTTAGACTTAAAATATAATCATTTTTTTAATTTTCCAGGAATCTCATTTACAGTGTATCCAGTGGATTGTTAAATTCATTCATGGCCAGCATAGTCCTAAAAGAATTTCTTTTCTTTATGACTGCTTAGCAATGGCAGTTGAGACTGGTCTCCTTCCACCCAGGTATGTTTAATGGTGAATGTAAGCAATCCAAAGAATTATTATTATTTTTTAAATAATGTTTGGAGATAGATTGAGATTGTTGTAAAAGGATAAGGAAATGAAGAAGGAAACTAGGTTCAATAAGCAATCCTTAAACCCTGGCTGAGTAGCTCAGTTGGTTAGAGCATTGTCCTGCTGTGCCAGGGTTGTGGGTTCAATCTCCCATCAGGGCACATATAAGAATCAACCAGTGAATACATAAATAAGTGGAACAACAAATTGATGTTTCTCTCATTCTCTCTCTCTCCCTTCCTCTCTCTAAAATCAATAAATAACAATTAAAAAGAACAAAAACAACCAGTTCTTCATAATACCTCAGGTTTTACTAGTATACAGTATTCTTTTTTAAAAAAAATTATTGATTGATTTTTTTTCTTCGATTTTTTTTTTTTTTTTTTTTTTTTTTAGAGAGAGAGGAAAACACATCAATGTGATGTTCCACTTATTTATGCATTCATTAGTTTATTCTTGTATGTATCCTGACCAGGAATCAAAGTAGCAACCTTGGCAGAGTGGGATGATGCTCTAGTGAACTGAGCTACCCAGCCAGGGCTGGGGTACAGTATTCTTAGAATTGTTTAGTTAGAGGCTCAAAAACAGACTGGCTTTGCCTTTCGGCTCAGGAGCTACATCACTCACTTGACTGAGCTTGTTCTAGTTAACATTTGTTGACTTAAAAACCATCTTCTAAAACAGTAATAATCATTTTATTAGTAACACTCATGGTGGTTGACTGAGCTTATGAAACAGTGTTTTCTCAGGGTCTCATTGTTACAGTCAGACAGTAGCTAGGACGAGTCATGACAAAGGCTTCTCCATTCGTATGTCTGGTGATTGATGCCGGGCCTTTATCTGGGACCTCAGTTGGGTCTGTTGGCTGGAGTCTGCTCATGCCTTCTCTGTGTGACCTGGACTTGCTCAAAGCATGGAGGACTCCAAGAGCAAGTTTTCCAAAGAGGGCCAGGCCAAAGCTGTCTCGTCTTCCTTTGGAAGTCACACAGAATTCTTTTGCCATGGTCTGAGGCCTATCCAGATTTAAACAAAGAGACGGTAGACTCTCCTCCACCCTCTTCCGGGCAAAATATCAGTTCACATTTCAGAAGGACATAAGGATCAAAAATCTTGTTGCAGCCATCTTGGAAAAATACAATCTGCTGCAAACTGATAGATGGTAAACATTTAACCATGTATCTTTAGATTTCTTTCTAGTAAAAATAATAGAGTACTATTTAGTTCTACTAGTACTTTGTGTTTATTCTTCATACAAGTAAAATACATAAAATACTATACATACTTTTAAAAAGTGTGCTTGAATAATAATGTGGTTTTATGAAAAATACTTACTATGACAAATCTAATAGCCAGAATATACAGACCTTGGCTACTAGAGAACTTGTAAAATTCTGTCTTATAATTGGAATGTTGTTGGTTTCTTTCTAGAATGGTGTGTGAATCCCTGATAAACACTGATACTCTTGAATGGGAAAGAACACAACTTTGGGCCCTAACTTTTAAACTGGTTCGGAAAATAATTGGTGGAGTGGATTATAAGGTATTATTATTATATATTTTTTTACTAATTATAAAAAGTAACTGCTGTCGGGCAAGATTAATTTTTCAGTTGTAGACATCTTAATTTCAGGTGGGAGAAATTAAGTGGAAGCATTTACAAAATCTGTTTTATGTTGCTTATTTCCTAAATGGATTTAAAATGTTTCCCTCAGCTCCCTGCTCACTTCCCAACATGGAAGTGCAGGTGGCTTATATGTTTTTATGATGAGTCGGGAAGTTGCCAAGCAGACTTTGGGTTTCCTCATGCCACACATCTTAGGATGTTGGGCCCTTTTCAAATAAAAGCACAGAGGGGTGTGTGGAGCTGAGAGGGATGTAGACATCAACTGATGGAGGGAGCAAGCCCTACTTTACCATCACCTGGACCTTCCCTGCACAGGTGTCCTTTCTCCATTAGTATATTAGCGCTCTGCTCTTACCAAAACAATAGCATATCCTTTCTAATTGTGTCTCATATTGCAGTATTTCAATAGCTGCAAAAACCATTCTGCTTCATTCAAGCCATGTTTGTTTTTATTTTTATTTTTATTTTTTTTAATTCTTTACCATGCTAGTGAGGAGGAACACAATATTTCATTTATTTTTTATTTACTTATTAATTCTCACCCAAGGTTATTTTTCCCATTGATTTTTTTTTTTAACTTTTCGTTTTTTGTGTGTGTGTGTTTTGTTTTTTGTGTTTTTTTTTTTTTATTTTTTTATTTTTTAAATATATTTTATTGATTTTTTACAGAGAGGAAGGGATACAGATAGAGAGCTAGAAATGTCGATGAGAGAGAAACATCGACCAGCTGCCTCTTGCACACGCCCCACCGGGGATATGCCCACAACCAATGTACATGCCTTGACCGGAATCGAACCTGAGACCTTTTCAGTCCTCAGTTCTACCACTGAGCCAAACCGGTTTCGGCTGTTTGTTTTTTTTATTGTGGAAGGAAGAAGGAGAGAGAAGGAAGGGAAGGAGAAGAAAGGATGGGAGACATTGATTGGTGGCCTCCTGCCACCCTGAAGGGGGCAGGAATAAAACCTTGCAGCCCAGATATGTTCCCTTAATGGGGAAATTGAAGCCAAGATCCTTTGGTTTGCTGGCCGATGCACATCGGCAAAGGCTATTACTTTTATTTTTGAAAAAAATTATCGCTCTAGCGAGTTTGGCTCAATGGATAGAACATCAGCCTGCAAACTGAAGGGACCCAGGTTCAGTTCAAGTCAAGGGCACATGCCTGGGTTGTGGGCTCTATCCCCAGTGGGGGACTTGCAGGAGGCAGCTGATCCATGATTCTTTCTCATCATCTATGTTTCTTTCTTTCTTTCTTTCTTTCTTTCTTTCTTTCTTTCTTTCTTTCTTTCTTTCTTTCTTTCTTTTTTTTTTTTTAATATATTTTATTGATTTTGTACAGAGAGGAAGGGAGAGAGATAGTTAGAAACATCGATGAGAGAGAGTCATCGATCAGCTGCCTCTTGCACACCCCCTACTGGGGATATGCCCGCAACCAAGGTACATGCCCTTGACCGGAATCGAACCTGGGTCCCTTCAGTCCCCAAGTCGACGCTCTATCCATTGAGCCAAACCGGTTTCGGCTCATCATGTATGTTTCTATCTCCCTCTCCTTTCCTCTCTGAAATCAATAAAATTATATTTAAAAAAAAAAAAAGAATTATCAATACCTGACCCTGTGTTTTATTTCTGTATTTCCTGTCATCTAAAATGAGTTAGTTGATAATTATTTAATTTGAATTATGATTTAATACAAATTTCATTCTAAGAAGTTTTTCTGATTATTTTTTTTACTTATTTCAGTTTCCTTAGCAGATTAATGTGCAGTTTTACTTTTTATTTATATGATGCTTTATAATTGTTTCTAATTTTTCTTATGTATATGTTTATCTTTTTTTACAAGATTTACCACATAGTTTATATTCAATAAATGCACATTGAATGAAATTTCTTCTCTATGTATCAGATTCTGCTCTGAAATAATGCAACTTGTAATAGTATAAGGAGATGAATGGTTAACAGAATAGCCTTGTTGGGTAAATTTGAAGGGTTAAGGTATGTAATAGGTAAAAGTGGAGAATAAGGTTAGAAATGCCAAAGGGAGTGAGCAGAAAAGGTCATCTGCCAGAAAGTTTAACATCTTTCTTCATATTTTCAGATTATTTTCAGGTTCCATTCAAATATATTTCTGTCTGTAAACCCAAATCAAGCTTTTATGACAACAAACTTGTGTTCTGAAGGTCAAAAAAGTTAAGCAGAGCGTGGAAAGTTTAATTTTTATTTATTAGTAACTTTCTTTGTTCATTGATATGACCAGGTATTCTTTAGAATTCTGTTTGGGAACATTACATCCCCTGGGTTAATGTTAGGGACTTGAATATTAGCTCTTGTTTAGAATAATTGAGATGTGGTTTGGAAGGGAACTTTTTTCCTGAGTGTGTAATATTGAAACCTTTAGAAGTTTAGCACAGTGAGACATTACTTAATTTTAACCTATGACTTTTTTTTCTTATGTCAGGGTGTTCGAGATCTCTTAAAAGTGATTTTGGAGAAAATCTTGACAATTCCCAATACAGTGAGCTCAGCTGTTGTACAACAGCTTCTAACAGCAAGAGAGGTAATTTAAACCTTGATCATAGCCTCAAAAAATTGTTATGTGCAGTTCTGGGCTTTTAAAACTCATAGTAATTTGTGGAATGTTCCATTGGTTTACTTCTACAAAAGTCACTTTTTTGTTTTAAAGTACATGTATTAAAGCTGGGGACAGTGAAACAAGGAAGGGCTTAGGATAGAAGGAGTGACCGGATAGAGCCTCGGTGAGGCTGCTTTGGCTCATTGGAAAGTCAGAGAAAAAGGTCCGTGGAGACAGGTCCAGGGGTGGGATGTTAGCTACTGCCCATTGCCCCCCTGTGTAGAAGTCTCCTGGGGACCCTTAGACTTTAGGAGATGCATGCCTCTTGGGAGCATGCTCCAAAATCACTTTTTAGTTTTAAGGATGCTGTTTTACTTTTCATGGTTTTTAATTATAAAAAGCAATAATATAGATGTTAAAGTCCTACCAACAATTATAAGATGTCAGACTGTGGACCACATAAAAGATCATTGTGCTTTTTGCAAGTATTGTTACGTTGGTCTCTTGCTCTCCTATTGGAGTCTGATAATGTTTAAAGCATTTTCATGTTATTTACTAACCACCAACAGTTGTCCCATTGTTTATTAATCTTCATTTTTAGAGATTCTTCAATATAAGTGAACTCCTTTGAGCTATAGTTTAAACCTAATAAATTACTGAAGTAATCTGTATACTTTTTAACATATTGTTATTGTTGCATGTAAAGGGCTCATCTGTAGGACTAGTCAAGAATAACAATATTGCCCTTTTCTTTTCCTCAGGTGATAGCATATATCTTGGAAAGAAATGCCTGTTTATTACCAGCGTATTTTGCAGTCACAGAGATCAGAAAACTGTATCCTGAGGGAAAACTTCCACATTGGGTAAATTAGATATTTCCCAAAGTTTTTAATAACATTTTTTAATAAAAAATAGGTTAATCTTTTTTTTTGTGTTCTTATTTTTAAAATGCTTAATTTTATCCTTAGGTGCTATGTCTTCTTTATCAATATATATATTTTAAAATATATTTTTATTGATTCAATGAGGAAGGGAGAGGGAGAGAGAGACAAATATCATTGATGAGACAGAATCATTGACTGGGTGCCTCCTGCATGCCCCTTACTGAGATTACAGCTAGAAACCCAGGCACCTACCCTGACCAGAATTGAACCATGACCTCCAGGTTCATAGTTCAATGTTCAGTGGGTTCATAGCCCACTGTGCCACACTGGCTGGGCTGTCATTTTCTATTGCATTTCTCTGTTGTCCTGTTGACACAGTTTATATATCACGTGATAAAATATTCATAGCTTTATCAAATAGCTAAGGACATTGTGATACCATTTGGCCTAATTAAGAGGCAGAGAAACTGGTAATTGTTTAGAAGGAAGCAAAAGAACACCAACCTTTGAGTAATTCCAATGTGCTAGGCTTTATACTAAATCTTTACATATTATCTCATTTTATATAAATGATGATTATATTCAGAGCAGTCTTGATTTTATTTTTATACTTGCTTGTTTTTCGTTTTGTTTTTAGTTACTTGGAAACCTAGTATCAGACTTTGTGGATACCTTCAGGCCCACAGCAAGGATAAACTCCATTTGTGGTAGGATTGTAATTTAAAATATACTAAACTGTGTGATTTGGAATGATCTGACCATGGAACAAAGATGACAATGTCTTACACATGTCTTGGTAACTCTCTAGGAGCTTCAAATCCTTTGACTTGTTTTCAGGTACTTTATGTGCTGAATGAAAGGAGGGAAAAGCACATGTCTGGATGGGGTTTAAGCTTCAAACAGAGCCATCCTAGATGTATGTCGTGGTGCTTAGAGGAAATTTTGAATAGAGCTAGTAAAGCATCATGGAGTCTCTACACAACTGAGTATCATTACAGACCTGTCCCTCCGTGTTCACAATACACAAAGCTATCAGGCTCTTTAAGCCCATTTCAATTCACACCTTTGCTCTCTATTTCACTTATTTTCCATTTTTTCATGTTGTGTTAAAAATAAATTTTTATTTAAAAGAGTTTTCTTTTAAAAATAAGCATGTGATTGGCAGTGCTTGCAGTGCGCATATATATTCCTGAATTGTTTCTAGACATCTTGCTGGCCTCGAAACTGTCTGGGAATATAGACCATTGTTTAGCCAATAGCACTTCCTATGAGCCAGGTCTATTCTGCAGACTGAAATTCAAAAAGAAACTAAGTAAACACCAGACAGATAATTCTCAGGCTTCTAGCTCTCGTAACTGAGTGGATATTGATATAATTTAATGAATTATTGAAATAATGCGTGTTTGAGAAGAATGATGATGATGAGTGCAATTTAATACTTGTTGAACTTGCTGTACCCATGAGCCACCCAAGTGGCAGGATTCATCAGGCAGTTAGATATATGTGCTAGTAGTCATATGCTACAGCTAAGGCCTCTAGGAACATCATGCTTGTAGTCAATCATGCTGACCCTATACTAGACAGGTCTGCAGTTTTTTTCTATAAATGGTGATACAGTGAATATTTTGGGTTCTGTGGGCTGTTCAAACTGTTGCAGCTAGCTACTCAGTTCTGTCATGACAGCAAAAGCAGCAGTGAACACATTTATTTAGTTTATTTTTTGTATTTCAGTCTGCAGAATAGCACCGGGCTCATAGGAAGTGCAATTAACTAAACTTCACAAAAATTGGTAGCAAGCTAGAATTGTCCATAGATTATAGTTTGCTGACCTCTGTCCTAGATACTTGGACAAATGCAACATGTTTGAGTTTGGAAGGCCTGTACTGATTGGTATCAGACTTTGTGAATACCTTCAGGCCCACTGTATGTTCACAATCTTACATATTGGTCTCCAGCCATCTGGACTAAAAATAAAGACATTTTCTAAATTTTTATCTAATTCAAACATTTTTTTTAAACCAGCATCTGATTCAGCATAGATGTTCATTAAATATTCATAAAGTGAATGAAGGGCCAGTATTGTGTTAACAATTATTTAAAAACATTTTTTTGTAATACATACAGGCCGTTGCAGCCTTCTGCCAGTTGTAAATAACTCAGGCGCCATGTGTAATTCATGGAAATTGGATCCTACAACTCTTCGTTTTCCTTTGAAAGGCCTTCTGCCATATGATAAGGTATGTTGTTAAACATAATGGAACTTTCGGCCTAACAGCCTTCATCCTGTAAGTGATGCTAAATTGTCATCTCTTCATAACTAGTGAAGTAAACAATTATTTTTTAAATTTTTATTTTTTGTTGTTGTTGTTTTTTTTTTTTAGAGACAGACATTGATTTGTTGTTCCACTTATTTATGCATCCATTGTTTGATTCCCCATTCATTTGGTCTGACTGGGGACCGAACAGACAACCTTGGTGTATTGGGACAATGCTCCAAACAACTGAGCTACTCAGCCAGGGCTGAAGTAGTAAATACTTAAGTGAAAGATAGTGTGTGTTTAATGTATGTTCTCCTATACTCTGGTTTGTAATATTTCAGGTGTTTAGGCTCCAGTGGTCCACCTCTGGCAAAGTACTTGGAATTAGAAACTGACTTTAAGTTGATTATTTGCTTTCATTCCTTCTTCACAAAGGGAAGACCAAAAATGAATTTCCAATGCCCTTAAAATTTGAAAAGTGAGCCTCATATTTTTTAGATTTTTAAAAAGGGGAGATGGGACACGAGGAATAGAAAACAAAGGGGGGAAAAATCCACAAATATTAATGAAATGAACGAGGTAAAAACATACTTCCATCATGAGATTTGATAGATCATTATATTATTTGGGGTGTTGGATTGATAACAGAGCAGGGTATGGGGAGGACTGGATATTTTTTATGTACATGTTTTATGTCAAAAGTGATATGTAGAGTAAGTAGCAAGATTGTTCAAAAGTGAGGAGGGCTAAATAGTGAATGTAAGGTGACAACCTGAGGTCTTGGCATATTAGTCAGAAATTTTTGGAATGTGAAAGTGTGATAAACTAAATGGAATTTACTTTCATTGTCATCATGATAGCAATAATAATGAAAACAGATAAATTTATTGTGTGCTTACTATGTGCCAGACAATGTTCTAAAAACTTTGTGAAATTCTTATTTTTAACTATCATCTTAATATCTCCATTGTACAGATGTTGCAACTGAGACACAAAGTGGGTAGTAACTTGACTAAGGCCCGTGTTTAGGAAGTGGTAGAAACAGAATTTGAACTCAGGCAATATGATGCTAGAACCAACACTCTTAAACCCTGTGCTATCAAGTCATTTGTCATCTCCAAATTTGAAAATAGTGTTTGTTTTTACTCTTGTGAGGTGATGGACCTGCCTCCGCTTCTCTTTGATTAGATTTCTGAGCAGGAAATCCTTTCCTTACAACTGAAGTCATTTTTTAAGTTAAACTCTGACTTCGGGCAAGTCCCTCTGCCGAAGTCATCACTTACTCAAATAAGGGATGGGATAGATTAATTTCGACGAACACTAAAATTCTATGATTTTTTAAAATTTATTCTTTTTTTTTTTACTAGATACTGCCTACAGTGTGCAGTTAACAAGTGCCTCTAGAGGATTTTTTGGTCCCAATCTCAAATTACTTGAATTTACTTTGATCTTGAAGCAATAATTGTTTTTTATTTTCTTTAAAGGATCTGTTTGAACCACAGACTGCTTTGTTGAGATATGTATTGGAGCAGCCTTATTCCAGGGATATGGTCTGCAATATGCTAGGTTTAAATAAGCAGGTACTGTACTGTGATGGAAACCTAGTAAATTCTGTGTAGAATCTGCGCTATTCTTTTCTCTTTTCTTTGCTATAGCTAACTGAGCAAAACAGTTAAAAATTATTTGGTGATTTTTAAAAAAATATATGAATTATTAAACAATGTGTTGTTTCTATCATATATATATATTTATATTGCTTTCAGAATGTTTAAATTAAAAAGAAGATATTTTGAAAGTTGGTTTATTTTGCATTGCTTTTTTTTCTATAAGGCCAGTTTCAAGTATACCTTTTGCCAGAGAAACCTACACATGACTTAACCCTAATTTTTTTTATTTTTGTTGTCATTTGGGTGTCCTTCTTATAACCCATCATATCTTCAGCATGACCTCATTGCTGACTTTTTAGTGTTTTTTGTTTTTGTTTTTGTTTTTGGAGGGGGGTAATATATTTTTGGTGGTTTAACATGTGGGAGGGTTTGTGCTGACTTGGTTCCTTGAGGCTGGCCTCATAGTCACTGTTTTGTCTTTTCTTTTTTTCTTCCTTTATTTTTGTTCTGTCCTGTCTTGTCCTGCCCATCCTCCAATGCTCTAGACCTTGAACATTGCTCAGGTATGTTCACAACCTTACTGTTGTATTGTGACTAACGATACGCTGGCCGCTTTGTAGCCACTGATTCCGTTTAGAGAATTCATGTATGGTCGGGGCTTGAAATTGGCAGGACCATGCTAAGACCAAGGCCACCAGAACAAATTCTTCTTGGGATATGAGAGTTGTTTTTGGTGGATTGTTTTTGGTTTTGGATTTTGGTGTTTTGGTTTTTCTTCTTTTTTTTTTTTTTTTCTTTTTAAGAAAGAGACAACACCTGGCACACCATAAAGCCTTTCGCTTTTTTGATGGGTTGTTTTTTTCCCCACTCCATTTTACTGTTTTTCATGCTTTAGGACTGACGTGAGCCTGGTGGCATTTTTAGAGATGGAAAGATTTGTGGTGGCCTTTATCTTTCCAGACTTTTAAAACATAAATAAATAACAACACCAATAAAATTACTTACGTTGCTTTGGCTTAAAAAAAAAAATTAAAAACAAAACAAAGAAGAGAAAAAGCACTTTAATAGAGATATGCTACTTTTAAAAGTTGGAGTGGTAAACCTTACACAGAGAAGGCTTTTTTTGGAAACACGGGGATTGACTAAGAAATGTCGCTTTCTTAGGTGACCTCACACCTGCCTGACAAGCACCCTTCTTGGTCAGTCTTTGCCGGATGTGTCCTCCTAGAGTGAGCTCCTCCCAGTGGAAGCTCACCTATGGCAGAAAAGGACACTATGGCCAAACTTTATAAATCAAATTCTTCTACAGTCCCAAGTCTGTTCCTGGACTTTTCACCTTGGAGATTTTAAGCAAAATAGCGGTTCCAATTATTTTTGTTAAAAATTTTTGAGCCCAACATGTTAAAATAGACCAGCTTTTTTCTTTTAAAAAGACGTTCTTGTTTAGGTTATATAAACTAGCGTTACTGTTTGCAATACTATAGTGAAGGTTGTGCCAGTGCTTCCATTTATAAAGCCCTATTTTTAAGGACATATAGCTTGGCCATAAAACTTGCTCAGTGTTGAAACTTTGCATGCCAAACCTCACCCTGGTAGCAGTATCTCATTATTTTAAGTTTTTTCTTCTGAAAAATTTACCAAGTTTCCTTGTTTGGACAAGCCTTTGTACATGTGAAAAGTGAAACTGCTTCACAGTATATGAGAGTTACCTCATATAATCAATTTGTCAATTTAACACAAATACACAGTCATTAATTCTGACCAACTTTCACTTGAGTTAGAGGTAAGTATTGAATTAACTTTGAAAGAATGCTTTATACTGCTTCTTAAAGCTCATTTTTGCAATGAACTTTAAATCCAACAACTCAATATTTGAGTTGGTGGATAAATATACCAGTGGTCACTTGAGTTGCAAGTACCCTCCCCCAGAGAGCCTTAGCTGTCATTAGCTGCTGTCTTTTGGGGGGCACAGCTCTTCTCAAACCAAAAATTGGCAAAACAACTCAAAGAAGAGTATCTCTGATCCCATCATTTTAATAACAAGTTTCAACCTAAAAAAAGTTTATGACTAAGACATAAATCCATAAAAAATAAAGTTTATAATGGAAATGCTGACAGAACATCATTATTACTGGTCCCACTGAAGTGTAAACATTGTCAAAACTTTACAATTCATCAGTAGTTGTTTTGTAGAAAACTGTAGTGAGTGAACTTGTAGATGGAAGCTATGTGCTGAATTGACTTGATATGTTATTTTCACCATCTGGAAAGTAAAAAAAATGAGAACACACAGTATAAGAAGCATATGGTTAAAAATAAGACATCACGTCTTTTATCATTACAAAATTATATCCTGCACTGTACTTTCTTGTCCTTTCTCTAGCTATGCAGTAATTAATGAAAGCTTGAAACCTTTAAAAAGCTGTCGATATGGAATTTTCCAGTAGGAATTGGGCTATCTTTTATCTTAAAATTGGTCACATTTAGAAGGTCATAAATAGCCCAGTTCTGTGACCAGCAAAGTGGAGTGTTCACAGTGAAAGGATACTGTTTCACGTGTATACACGAGTTTATGTTCTTTCTACTGAATAAGAGTATTACAAACCATATGCTACTCAAGTTCTTGCATGGTGGTGTATGAACTCTGGCTACCCTGAGACAGTGAAGTCCTAGACTCATCACTGTTTATCTTTGAAAGTCACCATTCAAGTGGTATGAACTGGCACAGCGCTCCTCTTCTTATTGGCAGAGAATATAATAAATGACATACAAAGGGATATTTTTTCCCAGCTGGTCCTGAATAGGTATTTCTTTAAAATTGTTTTCTATCTCTAGCCAGCATTGCTCACTGGTTAGAGCATCGGTCTGCGCATGGAACGGTCGTGGGTTCTATTCCAGTCAAGGGCAGGTATCTGGGTTGCAGGTTTAAAACCTGGCCCCAATAGGGGCACATGCAGGAGGCAACCAATTGATGTCTCTCTACATCCATGTTTCTCTTTCTCTCTCTCTCTCTCTCTCTCTCTCTCTCTCTCTCTCTCTCTCTCTCTCTCTCTCTCTCCACTCTGAAAATCAATGGAAAAAAATATGGGGTGAGGATTAAATAAAATTTGTTTTCTAGCACTGAAATAATTATTTAAAATTAATTAAGTCCACCTAAGTACATGTTAAAATTGCACCACAAAAGCTCTACCAGAACTGTTATATACACGTGTTAGAGATTACTTAGCTAAAGTATGTTTACTAAGACTGAAAAAAGCCTTATCATTTGCCACTTGTAGTCATGATGGGAAAGAATCATGAGCATAGGTAGAGGTTACTATTAATGTTTCTCAATGCTTAAGCTTTTTAATAAAAGCAGAAAATTTTAAATGTTCCAATATAGTTTGAGCCATTATGCAGAATGTGAATTGTTAAAATATTGAATTTAGATTCTTATTGTTAAAAGAGGTTAAAACATGCATATAGAAATTATGTAAACTAATTCAGTTTATATGCTTATATAATGAAGAGTTAAATTTATAAAAGTTTTCAGAAAACAAGTTATGAGTAACCATACACACAGTGTCCATTGGCTTACAGAATTATCACAGCCTAGTGACGGATAATTAACCTTCATTTATAGATTATTTAATTGCTTTGCAAATTTTCATTTGTTCTACTTTATAAAATAATCAACCTATGTGATGGAAAGTCTTAATTTTAGAGTACTTACCTTAGTAATTGAAAACAAAAGCCAAACTTATTATTTTAAAATAGTAGTACGGATTTTTATTTTATTTTTTGCATTATTAAAATTGGCAAGTAAACGAACATATTTAAGCTATCCCTAAAATTGGTTTGAGAAATATCCTTGGCTTTAACAAAAAATACCTGGGAAATGGTATTAATCCTGCCATTCTCATCACCAGGGGAGTTAGGCTTCATAGAGATTCCTGAGTGATTTAATTCTTTACAGAAAATTTGGATCTCATCTTGAGTCATGGTTTATATGGAAAAAACATCAACTTTAACTAAATTTCCTTCTTAGTCAAAATCTTAATATTTTTGGTTTTTCTCCTTAAATCATTAACTGTGTGACCATCACTACACCCCTAAAATATATAGGTAAAAATCCAGTTTTTTTTTTTTTTTTTTTTTTTTTTTTTTTAAACAAATAGCTAATATTAAAAAGGTCAACTCCTAAATGACTCAGATGCTAAAACCAATTTTATTTAGTTTTCTCTTTTTTCCTAAAGCAGATTGATGAAAGACCATCATGGATGGAGGAATAGGTGACACATTGGTTAGTTTCTAAACTAGAAGCAAATTCCCACCACTAATGAAAAATTCCTACTGGAAATGGCTTTACTTCTTTTCACAAATTTTTCTGACTCTTACATACTTTGAATGACCTCACTCTAAATTTGTGTTGTCTGACACACTTCTTAGGTTGTTGGTGGTTGGCAGAACTAGTGAATTTCAAGCCCTGTACACAGTAGTTTTGCATGCTGATTTAAGAAATAGTTTGTAGTGTTGTCCGTTGCACTTTGCTCTGCTTCATAATGACAATTACATTTGGAGGAAAAGTACTGTAGTCCCAACCGGTGGTGTTACTATTGCTCTTTGTAAAACTGTAACGTGGTTGAACTGTGAACATGGCATTGTGTTTTCGGGGAAAAAAAAGATGAAACAACCATCGATGCTTACTGTTTTGGAGAGACGTTTGTTTTACTTGCATGCTTTAAGAAAGTACAGCTATCTTGGAGCTTTACAAGTTTGGAGCTGGCAAAGAGCATGCAAAAGAGGGGATGCTGTTCATTATGTTTTTTTTTTTTTTCCAAATTCGTCCCCATTTTGCATTCCCCTCCCCCCCCCTAAATTTAAAGAAGTCATATCCCTTTTTCATGGCAAAAGATGAACAATTACATCTAAAGTTTAGAAGGAAAGCATGTATATTAGTAATTGTATTCACTAGAAAGGCATCTAACTGCCTAGCTATTAAGCCATATTACATATTTTATAAAGAAACATGAAAATGTAGAAAGTATGGCTTAACATATATCTTTTGGTAAAAAATATATATTTTTAAATCACTTTCAAAATTATAAATCATTTTGCCTCTAGAAAGGGAAGTTGCATTTTCATTTTTAATGTTTAAACTCAGTTCTTTTTCTTGTTTTAGAATTTAAAATAGTCTAATTTACAATTAAAGCTGCATTATGTTTAACTTATAAGAGAAAAGAGCAGAGATAACTTTGAGACCAGTTTTTTTAAGAGGAAGTTTCCATTTCAGTATCAGAATTAGTGACACACATTGAAAAATATTGAGTAGATGGGCAGCTCTTTATGTATAAAGTTAGAGTAAACTTGTGGTTACTTTAAAATAAATTCACACACTTCTTGGCTTTCTTATCACAATATCTGATTCCTGGAAATCCAGGGTTTTCATAATTTGAATTAGATTGTGAAATTAATACTACTATCCCCATTTCATATGTCTTTTAAATTAACTTCTTTCAAAGGATAAATAACAAAATTTTATACTCTGCAGTGCTCTTTGTCAAATTGAAATAATGATGTCTTTAGTGACAGTCAAAAGTTAATGAGAAGTCTGTCTTGTATGAGACCTGAAAAAAAAATGTTTTATGATACTCATCCTCTATGATTATGTAACATCTTGCAGCTTTAATAGACTAAATCTAACCTTAACCTTCTAAGTTCAACTTCATTTCATGCTTCTCAGCCTCTTGTTACAAATAATGGCCATTAACTGAAAACATGGGAAACTAACCAGGAGGATTTTGGAATACTGTCTTTAATCTCTGTCCTACAGCACAAGCAGCGCTGCCCTGTGCTGGAGGACCAGCTGGTGGATCTGGTGGTCTATGCCATGGAGCGATCCGAGACGGAGGAGAAGTTTGATGATGGGGGAACAAGCCAACTCCTGTGGCAGCATCTCTCAAGTCAGCTCATTTTCTTTGTGCTTTTCCAGTTTGCAAGTTTTCCACATATGGTCCTTTCTCTTCATCAGAAGGTTAGTACTAAATCTTTTTTAGAGCGCTTCCCCTGTTGATTAGTATGTTTTAGACTGGTATGAAATTTGTCTCCTGATTTCAGCCCTGGAAGAAGTTCTGATTCTTATCATAGGTTTTGTTCAGTGCTTATGTGATTTCTTGACTTCACTTTCTTACCATTATACAAACTGGATTTTGTAATTCATTCTGTATATTTGCAGTGCAAAGATCAGGGGGTACAAGAGGAAAAGACACTATAGGACCCTCAATGAGCACCTTACTGGTGGAAAATAGAGATATAAACAATTTGATTATAATTTAATAGTTTTCATAGTGGAAGAATGTTTCCCTGAAGAGAATGAAGAGTCCCATTTAAAGACACAGGAGAGGCTTTACTAAAGAGATCTTGAAGCTAGTCAGCATTAAAGGACTAATAGAAATTTGCCAAGAAGAAAAACTGGGAAAGTGTTTTCATAGTAACAAGTATACGTATAGTTTCAGTGGGGTCAGGGAGAAAGATATATATTATATTAAAATACTTTAAAAGGCTTTCCTTGGTGTGTCTTGAGTTGAGACTAAGTAATTAGCAAATGCCAAAGTTAGATGCTATCATTCTTAAAGCAGAGTTTCTCCTTTTTTTTTTTTTCTTTAAATGTTGCATCCAACTCTTCAGCTGTGTAGATGTATATTTAATCATCTTTTACAGTTAGCAGGGCGAGGACTGATCAAAGGCAGAGATCATCTGATGTGGGTTCTCCTGCAATTCATTTCTGGAAGTATTCAGAAAAATGCACTAGCTGATTTTCTCCCTGTCATGAAACTCTTTGACCTTCTGTACCCAGAAAAAGAAGTAAGTTTTACTAAATGGTTAATAATATAGTAAGTGAAATATGTCTAAATTATGCTTAAGGATTTTAGTGTGGTTTTGTGAAAAGAGCACTGGATTTAGAAGCTGGAAATCTGAGTTTTTAACCTCAGTTCTCTAACTACAATCATGGGATGAAATTAGGTCTCTCTTATTATTCTACTCACATCTAATGAAGAAATTGAATGAAATTATTTTTGAAGTTTATCTTGAATCACAATGGAACATTTAGTATAGCAATTTTCCCTCTACATTTTAAGTAGGCTTACAGTTTTAAAAAGCATTATACTGTTTTTATCTATACACATCGTTGAATGGTCACATATTAGTGTCTGTGAATATCTTTTGTTTGTTTGTTAATAGAGTGTGTCCCTGTCATTGTTTTATTACATAAAGTATTTGAGTAAAATATGATATGTACTTATGATTGCCATTTTTTAAACATTTTATGGGAATTTTCATCATTTTTTTTAATTATATAAGCTTCAAATGTACAACATTATAATTTGGCATCTGTATACACTACAAAGCGATCAGCCCAAAAAAACTAGTCTCTATCCATCACCATATAGTTGACTCTCTTTATCCCTCTCACCCGCCTTTCTCTTCTAATAACCATATTCTATTATCTGTATTATGAGTTTGTTTTTGTTTTATGTTGCTTGTTGGTTTTTTTGTGTGTTTTTTTTAAATATATATTTTTTGATTTTTTTACAGAGAAGAAGAGAGAGGGATAGAAAGTTAGAAACATTGATGAGAGAGAAACATCGATCAGCTGCCTCCTGCACACCCCCTACTGGGAATATGCCCGCAACCAAGGTACATGCCCTTGACCGGAATCGAACCTGGGACCTTTCAGTCTGCAGGCCGATGCTCTATCCACTGAGCCAAACCAGCTAGGGCTATAGCATATTTTTAAAAGAGCTATATCAGAAGTAGATTAGTAAAATAGTTTTAATTAGTTAATTTTTCTTTCTGGAAATATTTTTTAGTGTATCCCAGTTCCTGATATTAACAAGCCTCAGTCAACTCATGCCTTTGCAATGACTTGCATTTGGATTCATCTTAATAGAAAAGCCCAAAATGACAACTCCAAACTACAGATTCCAATACCTCATTCCCTAAACCTTCACCATGAGTAAGTATTTGTAGCTGAACAGTTAATTTTTTATTTTATAAGTGGTGGATTATAGACTAATATTGTTCTTAGTATTTGTGTAAAGAATAGATGGAAATCCCGTCATATTCATTGGCAGTAAGGGCAAACATTTAATGTGTATGACATACCAAGAGAAACTGACCAATATCTGCATCAGAGAACAACTAGAAGATTAATCCTATTTACTATATATATATATATATATATATATATATGTGTGTGTGTGTGTGTGTAAAGATTATATAAAATATATATATATATTTAACCAGGCCTAATCTTTACTTTTATATGTTTACTTTAATTAAAGTACTTAATTTAAAAAAATATGCGAATGTATTTCAAAATTTTTTTAAGTACTTGGGATTTGATCATGATCTGACTGAGGTGGCTTTCACTCCCTGAGCTTCCAGGGCCTTGGGCTCGTCTGTCTTGTGAGCTCCCTTACATCATTCCCTAAGCTGTGATTACTCAGAGGTGTCCTTCTTAGATAAGATGGGGCTTCAGTCAGAGGTATGAGGAATATCTGAACTTCCCACCCAGAACTTCTAAAAAAAACTTCCTAAGAGACTATAGGAGTCACACTTCACATTTCATTTAGCTTTCGTTTTATGAGACACCCCTTAAACATCTTTACATAGTGACATCTATAACGAAGGCAAATCATTGTGCTTCAGCAGATAATAAATATAACCCTAGTTCATGAATGGATGAATTATTCCTTTCTGAATATTAGTGCTGTATCTGTAATACATACTTACAAATACCATTAATTGTTAACTTATAATTATTTAAATTCTTTCTGAAGTGCTACTTATACTTTTATATGTGTTTCTACATTATGTTTTTGGCAGAATCTTTAAAACCTGTAAGAATAAATATAGTATTAGTAAATAATTGCATGAAATTAAACTGTTCTAAAAGTGCAAGTTAACTTTCTGGAAATTATTTGCATTTTTTCCTCTTTAATGGGACTTGAAATTTTAGATTCCTACAGCAGAGTCTTAGAAATAAAAGTTTACAGATGAATGATTATAAGATTGCCCTGCTGTGTAATGCCTACTCTACAAATTCAGAATGTTTTACATTACCCATGGGAGCTCTCGTAGAAACTATTTATGGAAATGGGATTATGAGGATACCTCTTCCTGGAACGAGCTGTTTGGCTTCAGCATCTATTACTCCCTTACCAATGAACCTCCTGGATTCACTGACAGTTCATGCCAAAATGAGGTATGGGCTTTTTACTTGGTCCTGTGTCATGTAATTGATATCAGTATACTATTGACTTGATTTCATGATTATGTGTATGTTTTATGGTCAAGTACATTTAAAAAAAATAATTAGGGTTTTTTTTATTATAAAATTATAATTTTTTATTATAGGATTTTTAAAATATACAAATAAACCCCAAGAAAATAATTACCATAATCCCTCCATGAAAAATAAGCATTATAAAATGTTTGTGTATATTCTGAGTCATTTTTCTATGTATAAATGAATGAATTTATGGATTTTTTTTTAAGAAAATGGGCTCTTACTATAATTTAATAATCATTCTTTTCCTCCATAATCCATTAAACACCTTTTTAAGTTTAGTGTTCTTCAAAAATAGCGAGGTCTTTTGTATGACTATAAGTAATTTAAACAATTTTTTGTTGTGGTTATTTGATTGATTTGACACAGAGAGAGAGAGATCAGTTTGTTCTTTCACTTATTTATGCATTAGTTGATTCTTATATGTGCCCTGACTGGAATCTAACCCACAATCTTGGCATATTAGTACGATGCTCTAGCCAACCAAGTTACCTGGCCAAGATTGGCTCTAAATGATTATTTAGCCAGTTCCACATCGTTGGACATTGAGATTATTTTTTTTTAAAGTATATTTTTTAATTGATTTTGTAGAGGGAGAGAGACATAGAAACATCAATGATAAGAGAAAATCATTGATCAGCTGCCTCCTGCATGGCCCTCACTGGGGATTGAGACTGCAACCCAGGCATGTACCCTGACGGAATCAAACCATGACCTCTGGTTCATATGTTCAATGTTCAGCTCTTAAGTATTGGCTCAAACTTCAAATACTATATAGTCAATGAGAATTCATCTGTGGGCCGCTTCAATTCTAGAAAAGCCAGCTGTTTTTCAGATGGCAAACACTATGATAGAATTACACATGTAGCCTAGAGCATGCAACAGAGTTGAGGGAAGCACTGTTAGAACCCAGCATTTGGGTCTAAGCTGTGATTTATTAAGTAATTCTGTAACAAGTTAAATTTCTCAAATGATTTTAATTACATATTTAAAAAAGAAAACCTACTGAAACCATTCAAACACGTTCTTGTGAGGTGTACTTAAAGCCTGCATGAGGAGAGGGATCCTGAGGCACATTAAGCACCATGGAAACCAGAACAGGTTTTAGAGTGTACAGTGCTCACTCACCACCAGTGTCCTGCCAACTTAAATGATTAAAGTGGGACTGATTCATTTCATATATTTAAGTTCAGACTTATACCAAGTTTCCTATCAATAGATAACTCCTGTATTTATGTCAGAAATAGGGATTTTTATTTGCTTTCCTTTTGTTTCTCCTCAGCCTTATCCACAGCATTGCTACCAGAGTGATAAAACTTGCTCATGCAAAGTCCAGTGTGGCCTTGGCTCCAGCCCTGGTGGAAACTTACAGTCGTCTATTGGTCTATATGGAAATAGAGTCTTTGGGCATCAAAGGATTTATCAGTAAGCCAGGACCTTCTGATGTTTATAACTATTGATCCATTCATTAATTCAACAAGTACTCTTCTAGGTGCTGGGATATAGCAGTGTTACTGCCATCATAGAGACTACTGCTAATGACAGAGACAAAAAAACAATAAATTGAAGTATGTCAGATGATTTTTTAAAAATATATTTTTATGGATTTCAGAGAGGAAGGGAGAGAGAGAGAGAAACATCAGTGATGAGAGAGAATCCTTGATAGCCTGCCTCCCACAGGCCTCCTACTTGGCATCGAGCCTGCAATCTGGGTATGTGCCTTGACAGGAAATTAAACCGTGACCTCCTGGCTCATAGGTCAATGGTCAGTGCTCATAGGCCAGGCTCAGGTGATAAGTCTTATAGAGAAAAATAAAATAAACAAGAGGGATAGGGTCAGGGTGGTGAGTTGCATTTTTATATAAAGTTATGGTAAGAAAAGGGTATTGTACTAGCTGCTTGGGATACAGTGAGAAGGACATTGTCACTGTTTTCATGCAAGAATCATGGTCTTGTTTGCCTCTTTCTGGTTTGCTCCTGGGGCAGCAATGAATACTGAATCTGACTGGCAATACGGAAAGCGTTTTCCTGGATTGCAGAGGACGGCTTATAATATCTGTTAGTTATTGTGCTGTTCTGAATAATAGGTACTGTCTAGTATGGAAGTGTTATTCTGATTCAATTCTAACTTTCACCAATATAATGCAATTTAATTTTAAACATAGTTATTACTCTTTTTACCAGGTAATTGAGATCTGAATAAAACTTTCTTAGGGAGGAGGGAATAAGAACATGTGTGATGCAATTTTTGTGTTAAAAAGTGAGTCTTCTTGCTTCAAAACATTGGGAACCTTAATTTTATAAAAATAATTTTGAAAATAACTGAGACGTGAGAATGGTTAGAATCATTTTTTAAAAATATATTTTATTGATTTTTTTTTTTTTTTTTACAGAGAGGAATGGAGAGGGATAGAGGGCTAGAGACATTGATGAGAGAGAAACATCGACCAGCTGCCTCCTGTACACCCCCCACTGGGATGTGCCTGCAACCAATTTACATGCCCTTGACCATGAACCTGGAACCTTTCAGTCTGCAGGCCACTGCTCTATCCACTGAGCCAAACCAGATTCAGCTAGAATAAAAATTTTCCCCTTGATATATCTTGTGTTTTATTTTTCCAGATGAACTTGATTATCAGTTGCCAAATTCCAGGAGAAAAAAGCAAACTTGATATTATAACTATGATCTGGATTTTTTTTCTTACAATTAAAATAGAAGTTATAGAGAACATTTGGGAAATACGTGCACTTATGTATGCCTCTGTGCCTGTGTATTCACAATCAAATCTTTACATAGATTTTTCTCAGTGTGACTTCCGTGTCTTTTCATGCACAGCTTTTACTAATTGGTATCTTAAATGGTCTTGTTCCTTAAGGTCAGCTTTTGCCAACCGTTTTCAAGTCTCACGCCTGGGGGATCTTACACACACTTCTTGAGATGTTCAGCTACCGGATGCACCACATTCAGCCTCATTACAGAGTTCAGCTCTTGAGTCATCTTCATACTTTGGCTGCAGTTGCACAAACAAATCAGAACCAGCTCCATCTCTGGTGACTCACTGAAGATTGTTTTTCTTTAAGATTTATAAGAAAGTTTGTTGGAAATGGGAATTTAAATCTTCGCCTTACAATATTTTTATTAATTTATCATAAAACCCCTCTGCTTCTGAAGCATATTATTTCCAGTATAGACTGAGTAGAGTCCAGCGTTTTATTTTTTAAAGTTTGTTATTGAATTTATTGGGATAACATTGGTTAACAAAATTATACAGGTTTTAGGTGTGCAGTTCTATAATATATTATCTGTATATTTTATGTGTTTTCCACCCCTAGTCAAGTCTCCTTCCATCACCATTTATCCCCCTTTCACCCTGTTTTATCCATTCCCTCTTTCCCTCTGGTAATCACCATACTGTCATCTATGTGTATGAGGTTTTCTTTATCTGTGAGGTTTTTTTGTTTGTTTGTTTGTTTATTTCTTGTTTGTATTTGCTTAATTTCTTCACATTTTTTACCCAGCTAGAAACATCGATGAGAGAGAAACATTGACCAGCTGCCTCCTGCACAACCCCCACTGGGGATGTGCCCACAACCAATGTACATGCCCTTGACCAGAATCGAATCTGGGACTTTTCAGTCCGCAGACTGACTCTCTATCCACTGAGCCAAACCGGTTTCGGCTTTTTTTTCTTTTCTTTTTTTTTTTTTTTTTTAATTCAGTTTTTTAAACAGAAATTTATGAATATAGTTGAATCCTTTCCTTGGGATCTTTGGACTGACTATAAGTAATTCCAAGGCCTTTGACATTATGTTCTATTAATAACTTAGCCTTTTTAGGGTACTAGATTTAAACATACTTCGAATTATGGTTAAAGTATCAATCATGTTATTTTGATTTTGCTCTAAGTGAAAATACCATATATCAATATCACAAGTAAAAATAATGTAATTTTTGAAATGCTGTTTATCTAAGTGAAATGTTTTTGTCTTATAGTCTATGGACTATCTTTTTCAAATGTGTAAGCAAGTCAAGTGGTTTTTACTATATTTGCCACTTCAGGTTTTTAAAAAAATTAAGCAAAGCTCATCCCACACAAGAAAGGTGTTTGTTTTTTATTTATTTATTTAAATTAAAGAAGGGCCCTCACCAGTTTGGCTCAGTGGATAGAGTTGGCCTGTGGACTAAAGAGTCACGGGTTCAATTCCAGTCAAGGACATGTACCTGGACTGCAGGCTCCTTCCAGGTCTGGGACCTGGCTGGGGCTCGTGCAGGAGGCAACAAATGGATGTGCTTCTCTCACATCCATGTTCCTTTCTGTTTTTTCCTCTCTCTCCCACTCTCCACCCCTCCCTTCACCCCCCCACCAAAAAAAAAAAAAAAAAAAATCAATGGAAAAATATCTGCTGGTAAGGATTAAAAAAAAAAGAAGAAATATTAAAGAAGGGAAATTCATAATTTGCGTGTTTTCCCATTTTAATTAGCCTAGAATTAGATTTAATTCCATAATTCTGAAATTTATATGCAAGTTAACTCTTTCATTTTTTTGTTGTTGTTGTTGTTCTCCCACCTTTCAGTGTTGAGAGCACTGCACTTAGGCTTATAACAGCCTTAGGTAGCTCCGAGTTACAGCCACAGTTCACACGCTTCCTTAATGACCCCAAAACAGTGCTGTCCGCGGAATCCGAAGAACTGAACCGAGCATTGATATTGACCTTAGCTAGAGCAACTCACGTGACAGGTACAGTGAATCCAGCACCACAAACAAAACAGTGAAACTGGAGTGTGCCAGGTCTCTACTGATTATTAAGGGGATGAGATGCTAAAAAGATACTTTTCATTTGTTCAAGTAAAAACAGTTGTTTTGATAGCTTCACGATTTCAGTCATTGACATAGATTCTTCTGTGTACTGTCACTTAACCAGGATGAGCATCAGTTTTTAGCCACTTTTCAGTCATGGTTCTTGAGCTTTTCTCAGGACCAGTTTACCCTCTTTTTAAAAAATATATATTTTATTGATTTCAGAGGTTGAGAGACAGAGAGAAACATCACTGATGAGAGAGAGTCATTGATTGGCTGCCTCCTGCACCCCCCAACTTCCCTCTCCCCCCCAATTAGGGATTGAGCCTGCAATCTGGGTATGTGCCCTGACCAGGAATTGAAAAATGACCTCCTGGTTTATTGGTTGATGCTCACCACTGAGCAACCCCAGCCAGGCACAATATCTGCTTTCTTAATTCTGTTCTTTTGGCTCTAAGAGTGCTAATACCTCACTGTCAGAGTGAATTAAGTGAGCAATCATGGTAGACTTGTACAAAGTTGTATCATTGATGTTCTGTAACTTAAAAAGATTCCCATTGTCTTTGGTCATTTCATTTGTGTTCATATCATTCAAATTTAGGTCCTAAGCTGAATATTACTAGTTTAGCAGTAAATGCATTGCAGTGAAATTCTCTCAGTGTACCTAGTTGTTTGTGACTTTCTCTATGATTTTGTTATGAATTATGGATGTGGTCATTTAGATCGAGATTATATCTGTTTGTTTTTGTTTAGATTTTTTTACAGGCTCTGACTCAATTCAGGGAACTTGGTGTAAAGACATACTTCAGACCATTATGAGTTTTACTCCTCATAATTGGGCTTCACATACTCTTAGCTGTTTTCCAGGCCCTCTACAGGTAATTTGGTCTTGAATTATATATTAAATATATATGAAATCATTCTTCCCCTTTATAATGTTATTCAGAGAGTCACTTTTGGTGACAGCCAAAGGAAAGTTAGATTTTCTTATTGTTTTTATAAATCTTCGCTATTTCAAAATCTTGGGTTGTGGTTCCTTGTCCTATTCTAGGACTGTATGTTTCTTAAATTATTATGGTTTTATCTTATTAGTTAATACATAGTACTGAAATGCAGAGAAATATAATTTAATGCACATATGCTACACTTGAGTGCATTTAAAAAAAAAATCACATAGAAAACCTATAAACTTGGCCTTTATAATACAGAGAAAGAAAACCTCATCTTCTACTTTTCAGAGAAAATTTTAGGCACAGTGAACATTTAAATTCTAATGGGGGAAGAGCAGTAGCTCTCTAACTTTTCAGAATCTCCTGGAAGATTGTTTAAATACAGATAGCTGCTGATGCTGCCATACTCAGAGAACCACTAAGCTAATGTAACGGATTTGCCTTATAGCAATAGGGAAATATGTAACCAACGGGCACATAAATTTCTCTTTCTTTTTCCCCAAGGTGAATAGAAGTATCAACAGATTATTGAGAAACTTTAAATTCAGGTTTGCTTGGAATTCCTCTTTAGGAAATCTAAGAAAGGAATCTCAGTGATAATCTAGTCAAGTCTGCATATTTTCCCAATATACTAGTAGAAATTCAGGCCTTGGTTACTGAGTTGCTTCAGGCACCAACAGTGTTGTACTGTCAGAGTCAAGTCTAGAACTGGTTTCTTAACTCTATAGCCAGTGCTCTTTTTACTACAACTATTGAAGTAAATTTCTGGTCTTCCTCTTAGGCATTCTTCAAACAAAATAATGTACCTCAGGAAAGCCGTTTTAATCTGAAAAAAAATGTGGAGGAGGAGTATAGGAAGTGGAAGTCAATGAGCAATGAAAATAACATCATTGCCCACTTTTCTAATCAAGGCTCTCCCCTCTTCCTTTGTCTTCTCTGGAAAATGCTCTTGGAAACAGACCATATTAATCAGATTGGTTACAGGTAAGCCCCAAACCTGGATCTGCAATCCATTTGGCAACCCATTATACCATACAGCAATATAATTTATTTTTTTACTCTCTGCTTTCCAGAGTATTAGAAAGAATTGGAGCCAGGGCCTTGGTGGCTCATGTGAGAACCTTTGCAGATTTCCTGGTATATGAGTTCTCTACATCAGCTGGGGGGCAGCAACTCAACAAATGCATTGAAATTCTTAATGACATGGTATGGAAGTACAATATTGTTACATTGGACAGATTAATTCTCTGCCTGGTAAGAATATGCTTAAGAATGTTTCTAAGCTGTCTATTCTCTTGGATCAATGTGTGTATTGATAGATCTTGCTCCTAAGGATTTAATAAATTTGTACAATAATTAAGCATTGCTATCACTTCCCTAAAGAACTAGATATTTCCCAATTTCTTTACTCATTCGTTCAGTAAATAGGTATTGAATATATATTATGTTCTATGCACAGAACGTATGGAGTAAATAAGATATGACCCTGACATTATGATGCTCTAAAAATATGAGCCGTTTGACCTGAGTTGATTCTCAAAGTTTCCTACTAGGGTCAGGAATTTGTAAGTCACTGCATTCCTTTGTAGGTGCTAATAACCATTTGTGCAGTTTGGTAGCCACAGTCAGAACTGGATTTTCTCATTGCCACCCAACATTCCCCAAATGTTTTTTTCTGTTGACTTGATTCTGAAAGGCAAAAACTTAAGAAAGAGACACTAAATCAGGGTGGGTAATCCTACATTTATAAAAATACTATAGTGGTGATATTTGGGGTGGCTGATAGGTTAACACTAACCTCTTAACGTGGAGCATAGATGGAAAGATGGTTACAGTCTACCGCGGCCAGTAGCTCAGTTGGTTCTAGTATCTTCCCGATATACCTAGATTGTGGGTTTGATCCCCTGTCAGGTTACATAAAAGAATCAACCAATGAATGCATAAATAAGTGTAACAACACATCAGTGTTTCCCCCCCCCCCCTCTCTTTCTCTCTCTCTCTCAAGTAAATAAATAAATAATTTTTTTAAGAAGCTCCTTTAAAAAAAGATAATTACAATTTACTAGGGGAAATAATGCATATCTATAAATCAGTAAAAGGATAAAATAGAGATATAGTAACATTTTATTTATTTAGATTTAGAGTATCAAGTGGCAGACCCATACTATTGCATAGGTTAGACATTTTCATAGAATTTTCTGTTCTTCTCCAAAGGCCATGCGTAGCCATGAAGGAAATGAAGCCCAGGTTTGTTATTTCATAATTCAGTTGCTGTTACTCAAACCAAATGATTTTCGAAACCGAGTAAGTGACTTTGTGAAGGAAAATTCCCCAGAGCACTGGCTGCAGAACGACTGGCACACCAAGCACATGAATTACCACAAGGTACTCATTCAGATTAGTGTTTCAGTTAATCCTATCTAACCATTCTTGGCTGTTGACTTGGCTGTTGTCTCTGTGGTTCTACTCTTTCTCTCTGGTCTCTAAATTTCTTCAAGATTCTAGAGTATCTCTAAAGTTATGAATAAATTAAAATTGCTGTTTTTATAGACATGGATACATATAGTACAAAATGAAAAGAGTTACTACAAATCCTTTTATACATAATAATTTCTGGTGTATTTTTGGGATAAAAGATTTTTACCAAGTAAATGACTCTTGTTTTCATTGCATTGTAGGAGCAAACTTGGTTTCATGTTCTTTTTTAAAGGGCAAGGTTATTTAGTTCTTTTTTTTAAGAGAAAAAAAGATGCCATTTACCATTTTCTCGTTTCCACAGAAATATCCTGAGAAGCTGTATTTTGAGGGCCTGGCGGAGCAGGTCGATCCTCCCGTGCAGATCCAGTCACCCTATCTGCCCATCTATTTTGGCAACGTGTGTCTTCGATTCCTTCCTGTATTTGATATAGTAATCCACAGGTTTTTAGAGTTGCTTCCCGTCTCCAAATCACTGGAGACTCTCCTAGATCACCTAGGAGGGCTGTATAAATTTCATGGTGAGCTTTTTCAAATTTAATCGCATCTCAGAGTAAACATAAGTGGCTAGGCATGACCATATGGGTAACAGTGGTTCTAAAGATCTTGTTTTATTAAAGTGTTTTGAGGTTAAGTGCCATGCATTGGTACCAGGAAGTCTAAAATCGACGACATAAAAATATGAATTTGTTAATCATAACAAATGTATTAAATAGAAAAAAAGTGATATGAAAGAGTTGCCTTATTTGACACAGAGTGTGATTAATTGCCAAAGACTATAGAAGGAAAAAAAATATGTGTTCACAACAGACTGACATTACTGGGAACAAATTGAATTTTGGCAGCTTCTTGGATGGATAGAATCTCACTGTGATGTATGTGATTTGTATAAACAGAAAGGAGGGGGGAGACTAGGCAGAAATAATATTTTGGGAAAACATGAAGGTATTAAAAACAAGACATCTTGAAAACAATAACCTCATTGGACTAAATTAAAAATTTTTGTATTGTACCTGACAGATCATCTTAAATGACTGATTGGGAAGTTTTGATTTTATAACTCAGGTAATCAAGGATCAACTAGAAGTTATTGAATAAGATAATTACATGGAAAGCATAAATGGAAAACATTTAGATAAATCCAGTTGTAGTTGGCAGCATGTCTTGGAAGAAGGAAGCCATTTCTTTTTTCTTTTTTTTAAAATATATTTTATTGATTTTTTTTTTTTGTCCCCCTTTTTCCCCCCCATACATACCCTTTCTCCCCAGAATTTTATGTCCATTGGTTGTACTTATATGCATGTATACAAGTCCTTCGGTTGACCTATTATCTCCCCCAGATCTCCCTCCCCTCCCCACTGTAATTTGACAGCCTGTTCGTTGCTTTACTGTCTCTATATCTATCTTTTGGTTCATCAGTTTATAATGTTCTTTATTATCCATAAATGAATGAGGTCATGTGGTGTTTCTCTTTCAGTGATTGGCTTATTTCACTCAGCATGATGTTCTCCAATTCCATCCAGGTTGCTGCAAATGATGAGAATTCCTTCTTTTTTATGGCAGCATAGTATTCCATTGTGTAGATGTACCATAGTTTTTTGATCCAATCATCTGCTGACAGGCACCTAGGCTGTTTCCAAATCCTAGCTATTGTAGATTGTGCTGCTATGAACAGAGGGGTGCATATATCAGAAGGAAGCCATTTCGACACATTATGTCAGAAAGCTCAGGTGTATGATAAACAAGTATGATGGCATTGGAAATGATAAAGAAGGGTCAGATGGTCAAGGAAGAAGGAATAGAACTTGTGTGGCTGGTTGTGGGGAGAATATGAAAAGAAAGAAATCAAGACAAGTCTGAAGTGTTAACCCTGGTCCTGGAGAACAGCAGAGTCAGTGACAGAAGCAGGGGAGCCCCAAGGCAGCCACTATGGGGACAAAGTGTCTTTTTCTGGGACAGTGCTTTCTAGACGTTGATCTAAGATGTTTTCGTCCAGTGCAGAAGCTAGAATTGTCTTTTAGCACTACAGATTAGGTATGAAGTTAAAGTGAACATTCCTTGAAAACATTTTCCATTTGGATTAGGTGATAAATGCACATGGTACAGAGGGTTATGCCAAAAAATGTCCCATCCCTGCCCTCTAGAAAGGAATGTCCTAGCACATGTTTCACTTTTGCAGGATACATTTCCAGAAGTGAAATCGCTACCTCAGACTGTAATGAATATCTTAAAATACAGTGATGTATATTATTGGAAGCCTTGTCCTAAAATTAAAATATTCACTGTCTGTAATTACCCAGTATGTGAAATAATTTCATAATTTTAGCTGTTTTTGGGTAATCTGAAAACAGGATTTGTTTTTTCACAATTGTCGGTAACCAGATCGCATCATGGTGATTTGTTTTCTTCTTGGCAGATCGTCCGGTGACTTATTTGTATAATACTCTGCACTATTATGAAATGCACCTGAGAGATCGTGCATTTCTCAAACGAAAACTTGTTCACGCAATCATCGGCTCTCTCAAGGATAATCGACCACAGGGCTGGTGTCTAAGTGACACGTACCTGAAGTGTGCTATGAATGCCCGAGAAGACAATCCTTGGGTCCCAGATGACTCCTATTATTGCAGACTGATTGGTCGACTAGTGGATAATATCCTTTTTATGGTGATTTTCCAGGTTCTGTAGAAATAAGGGCATGTATGATTTGTGAGAACGTGAGCTGTATTGTCTTTTCAAGATAATATTTTTATGTATTCTAAGACTTCAAATTTCTTGAAGATTGTTTCTCCTTTTACTTCTGGAAAGTTTTGAAATCTTAACAGCATCATGGCAGAGAGGCAGAAATCCACTCCATTAAAATTTATATTTAAAGCAGGCCTTATAAGATTTGTTTCAAAGAAAACAATCCTATTTCTAAATTTATTATTGTAGTACGTGCATTTGTTTGCTACTGGAGAACATAGAAATTTGTTGCTTTAAGTAAGTGAATTTTTTAAAAATGTTAATAGAGGATAATAAAATTTATTTTCTCTCTTTTTTGTTAAAAAATGCCACTATACTGGTATTTTTATTCATTTTGATTTCATGTCTTAAGTTTTCAGCACATTTTACTTAGTATGTCTATATACCATGCCACTATTTAGAGCAGTTTATATAAATGGTCATGATTTATTTTCCTACACAAAGAAACTTATTTTGTGAAGTAGAAGAAGTACTTATTATAAAGTAACTTTTTTTTTTTCCCCAGAGAGGAAGGGAGTGGGAAAGAAAGATAGAAACATCAATGATGAGAGAGAATCATTGATTGGCTGCCTCCTGCACACCATCTATTGGGGACCGAGCCCACAACCTGGGCATGTGCCCATGACCAAAATTGAACCCAGAACCTTCAGTCCGCAGGCTGACGCTCTATCCACTGAGCCAAACTGGCTAGGTGGAGTAACTTTCTTATTAATTGTCCTATAACTATTAGAAGGAATAAGTTGATAGTTATAGCAGTACTTTGGTTGCATCTATAGCTATCACATCACAGTTATAAGAGCCCATCTATATAAGACCAACTATTTTACCGTATACATTACGATTGATCATATGGTTACCGTCAATATATTTGTCATATCAAGTTTATTTGTATTTGGTATGTATGATTTGCCTTCTAACCTCTCAGGTAAATCACTTCTTGGAGGTTCATAATTAGATAAATTGATAATCAGATGTTTACATATGAAACATTTTGAAAACTATATAGCACTATACAAATATGAGCCATTAATCTTAAAATAACCCAGTAGTTATTGCTTTAATCATTTGCACCGATGGCTGGCAAGTCTCCTGGTCCATTTCCAAACTGTGACTGGAGATTCAATGAGTTTCCCAATCCAGCTGCCCATGCACTGCATGTTACTTGTGTGGAGCTCATGGCCTTAGCTGTTTCGGGCAAAGAAGTTGGAAATGCTCTTCTAAATGTTGTACTAAAAAGGTATGTATACTGTTGTATGCAATAAGATTTACTGTTTATTTGTAAAGAAATTGATATTTTATTTGGAGCTGTCAGATAAACCTATTGTCCCAAGGCTGATACATACTGGATAGTAACTGTCTTTTGGTTCTAGATCTTGTCCTTACGATATATGTGTAATGGAGTTGGCCCTAGACAGTGTCAGGAGACCTGAGTTTATTCCTACTTATATTTTTTATTAGTTGTTTGGTATTTAATTTAGGAATAATGTTAACCTCTCAATAAAGACTGTCTTTGAAGAGTCCTTTCTTAAAGACCAACATAAAGGATGGGATAATGATTAGAGAAGAAGTATAAATAAATGGAAATAGTCTTTCAGCCCATTTGTTAAAGGAAACAACCCAAAACAAAATTCCTATTTTGCTTTTGTTTCTGTATAGTAAATTTTTACTCAATAAAAATCTATTGTTTTATTGGATGACTCCTACTGAATGTAGAGGTCAGCCTCTCAATTATATATGTTCTCAAAATAAGATTCATTATCAACCATATAAAATGTCTTTATAATTTCCCATTTCCCATTTGTACCCACTTTGTAGTCAGCCTTTAGTGCCACGAGAGAACATTACAGCATGGATGAATGCAATTGGATTGATCATCACTGCTCTACCAGTGAGTTAAGTTACTGTCTCCTTACCCACCTCCCAAATATATGTATTTGTTTCTGAGTTACAAATGTGTATCAGTAGTGTCTGTGTGATAAATATTGTTAAAGTAGATTTACTGTGTAGTCAGTATCAGGTACTAATGAACAGGTAGATGCGTGTATGGAACCCTCCAACTCACAAGCATAATAATGACTTATTATGAAGCTGCCCACTTTTGATGGCAAAAATCTCCATTACACAAGGACACAAGCTGGATAAGTAGAAAACATTAAAGAATGAGAAAGTGCTATTATTTTAGGGGTGGGAGTATGAAAATGAATCTGGGGTGGAATACTAGATACGTGATATTTTTCACCGGGCTTTCCTCTGATTTTAAAGGAGCCATATTGGATTGTCCTTCATGATCAAATTGTGAGTGTCATCAGTAGTCCCAGCTTGACATCTGAAACTGAGTGGGTTGGCTATCCATTCCGCCTCTTTGACTTCACTGCTTGTCATCAGTCCTACTCCGAGATGAGCTGTAGCTATACGTTAGCTCTAGCGCATGCTGTGTGGCACCATTCTAGCATTGGGCAACTTTCTCTCATTCCCAAGTAGGTATTATAATTTTTAAAATAAATTTTACTTTTGTGATGTTTTTGTTTTGTTCTTTAACCTCACGGACATGTAAGAACAACTTGGAAAGTGAGAGTGATGTAGAATTTCTAGATAATCAGAAAAACTCTTTTACTTCAGAATTGTTTGAAAAAAATGTAATTTGTACATGCAAGTAATAATTTGGTATCTAGTTTTCCATTACATTTTAAGGAGGTTTTTCCTAGAATGTATTCCAGAAGTTGCCTTTTGAACTAAATAACTGATATCAGCCTATTTTCTCATTATTTACCTTAACTATAAAATTGGTATTAACTAGATTCAACTTTCTTAAGAATGGCATTTATATAAGACTGTCATTTATATGCACATCGGTCATTCAGTAATTTTATTTTATTTATTTATTTTTATTTTATTGATTTTTTACAGAGAGAGGAGGGAGAGAGATAGTTAGAAACATCGATGAGAGAAAATCATCATTCAGCTGCCTCCTGCATTACCCCTACTGGGGATATGCCTGCAACCAAGGTATATGCCCTTGACCAGAATCGAACCTGGGACCTTTCAGTCCGCAGACCTCTATTCACGGTCATGGCAATAATTTTATTTCTAAGAATGACTTTAAATCTAAATTTATTCTGTAATCAAATGAAAATAAGAGCCAGTGAGAGATGAGAATAATTAAAAAGGTTACCAAAATCTAAATAAATTTAAAAAAATTATTGACTTTTACAAATACTAGGATAGGCTATATTAACAAAATTCAAACAATTCGACTGATTTCAAATCATAATAAATTATTATCTTCAAATTTTAGGTTTCTCACTGAAGTACTTCTTCCTATAGTGAAGACTGAATTCCAGTTGCTTTATGTGTACCATCTTGTGGGACCATTTTTACAAAGATTTCAGCAAGAGAGAACTCGGTGTATGATAGAGGTAAAATATAATCTCTGGGTTTTCTGTGATAAAATTAAGTTCTAAAATATCTATTTGGGTTTTTCCCCCAATGTTTTCCAAACTTCATTTTATAATCCATTAGTAGTGCAGTCAGCTTAGTAAGATCAGACAGTGATTATGGAGGACTTAGTGTACCCATGACTTAAGTAACTATAATGAGTTTGGTGTGGGATGTGTTGAATTGGAGATGCAGAGAGAAATACATATCTTCAGGAGAAATGCGTTTGAGAACCTGCACTACAGTAGAGAAGAATTAATTAAAATCATCTAGAACAGGAGTAAAGAGAAAAGAAAATGAACCAGGAATAGAACCTTAAAGTATAAGCCACCAGATAGAACTAAATGTACAATCTAAAATATCCCTGAGGTTGCGATTATCCCAGAAATTGAAATATGGTTTCCTGAAAGGGGATCATCTGTCTTTTAATTTTAAGAAAAATTCCTAAACTGTAAAGAGAAATTTCATTTATGCCCTATTGGGGCATTTTGTAGCACTATCGAGTCTACTATAATGCAGGCCATGTATATTTCCATGCACTCAGCTTGTGTGGTCAGTGACAGTTCTATAAACCTGTTATCCCTCTGTCTTGGAATGGAGTCCAGTATATCATGCTGAATTATTGAACCATTTTTGACATATAAATAATTTTTGGTTATTTTTAACTAGATTGGTGTGGCATTTTATGACATGTTGCTGAATGTAGACCAGTGCAGCGCCCACTTGAATTACATGGATCCCATCTGTGACTTCCTATATCATGTGAAATATATGTTTACTGGTGACAGCGTGAAAGAGCAAGTAAGTTGCCTTTAATTACTTTTAGTGATGTTTAGTTTAGAAACCTTGAACAAATGGTGATAGACTTATTTGTTTGGGTGAGTGGTTTTGTTTATTTTCTTTTGAGGAGAAAAGATTGATATCAGTCTCTTAGGCTACATGAGCATATTCTGGATATAGTATTAAAGTAAAAGTAAATACATGTTATAACTTCTTACATTTTGCCTTTGATATTTGCATCAAGACATCTGAAAAAGACCGAGGGGAGTTAGTTAACAGTAATTTCCTTAGGAAGAAACAGTACAGTATCGCTACTGAAAAGACCAGACAGGTGTTGTGTTATGTGAAGGAGGTCCTACTTTTTCTGGACGGTGATTAGGATACACTATGGGAACATTAGACAATTGCAGCATAACTAAAAGACTAAAGCCAGGAGAGACCAGAGAGTGATTTCTTGAAGGGTATTGGAAGGAATTGGGAAAGCTTGATTTGAACTTTTAAGATTCATCCTTAACTTTCTTTTCAACCTGAAGATTGGAATTTCTCCCTGCATCTCCAATTTAGCACATCCCACACCAAACTCATTAGTTAATTATGTCCTCACTATTGAGAGGGTTGCATTTGGATTCAGTATTAGATCTATTCTGTGTGACTTCAAAGGACATATAAACTCTGGTGAAGTTAAAAGGAGGTGTATTCTGACTCAACATATGAAAAACCACTTCCTAGTAGAGCTGTCTGAAAGTGGAAAGGACCTTGAGCCATAACAGAGTTTCCTATCTGTAAGAAACAGTCGTGGCTGTTTCAGGAGAAATTAAATAACCTCCCCTCCATACTTCAATGTTACTTCCTTCTATAATGGCCAAGAGAGAGAAACTGATATAAAAGCATATGAATCCTCGTCTGCTGGATTCTTCCCTTGCAGCTGGGGAGGGTTTGACTCCTTTATGCCTCAACAGAATCGTCCAGGAAAGTTGAGTGGGAACCAATACAGGCATGCTTTGTTTTATTTATTTTTAAAAAATATATTTTTATTGATTTCAGAAGGGAAGGGGGAGAGAGAGAGCTAGAAACACCAATGATGAGAATCATCGATTGGCTGCCTCTCACATGCCCCACACTGGAGGTCAAGCCTGCAACCCGGGCATGTGCCCTGACTGGGATTGAACCATGACCTCCTGGTTCATAGGTTGATGCTCAATCACTGAGCCACACCAGCTGGGCTCAGGCATGCTTTATTTATCATATCCTTTATATTTGGGCTTAAGACACTTTGACACAAGGTAATTACAGAAAGGAAAAATTATTATTATTATTATTATTTAAATATATTTTGTTGATTTTTTTACAGAGAGGAATTGAGAGGGATAGAGAGTTAGAAACATCAGTGAGAGAGAAACATCTATCAGCTGCCTCCTGCACACCTCCCACTGGGGATAGGTCCGCAACCAAGGTACGTGCCCTTGACCAGAATTGAACCTGGGACCCTTTAGTCCGCAGGCCGACGATCTATCCACTGAGCCAAACCAATTTCGGCGGAAAAATTATTAATAGGCTGATATTTCCTGGCAAGGTCAAAGAGCATTTGAGTAAAGAAAGCTGTGAAACTGCTTGATGTATTTATTTCTTTAAAGTGTTTTTAGTAAGAGTAGGTCTAATATATAATTTGAATTCCAAGTATAAATCAGAATTTTAAAAAATTATATTTGTAGATATATGTTACAAATATGTTATTCAAAGAACTTCAGAATGTAATTGTGTTTCATGCTTCTGTGAAGATGGTATTTTAAAAGGATGACCACCTATTGCATGTGTAATATTTTCAGTGTAAATTATACTAGCTTTTGGCAGTAGGATTACTGGCTAGCCAGGGAAGTATATGTGTTTTTGTAAGTATATGTTTATATACATAGATATATGCATATACACACATATACATATATATAATGTGTGTGAGGAAGAACACAGTTTTTCTCATGTGAGAGAAATAGTTTTATCAGCTTTTGTTAAAACATAGAGCATATAGATAAACTTCTCATCCATCCTACTCCCTAGTATATTGTCTCAGAATATGTATTAAGTCACTTCTTTATTTTTTTTATTTTTTTATTTTTTATCAATCTTTATTGTTCATATTATTACAAAGGTTCCTCATTTCTTCCCCTTCCACCAGGTTCCCACCCCACCTTCCTCCCCCTCCCTACCCCCCCATTGTCCTCATCCATAGGTGCACAGTTTATGTTCAGTCTCTTCCTCCCTCCCTTTCACCCGAGAACAGTCAGTCCACTCCCCTCCCATATCACCGTTAAGTCACTTCTTTAAAGTGGGAAATTAAAGTTTCTGGTTAAAATATTTTTCCATGTATTTTCATTTTTTAGGTAGAGAAGATTATCTGTAATTTAAAACCAGCTTTAAAACTCCGTCTTCGATTCATCACACACATTAGCAAGATGGAACCAACTACAGTACCTCCACAAGCCATAAATAGTGGGTCTCCAGCCCCTCAGTCTAACCAAGTGCCAGTGTCTTTACCAGTCACTCAGTGAAGTCAGCATGCACCGTGCTGCAATGGAAATACACCTGTCTTTCAAAGTGGACTCAAACCTGTTAAATCTGAACATGATCATGCTACATAGTGATGTAGTAGAAGCAGTGACGTTCAGATTGTTTTATTTTGATTCAAATGGTGAATCTGTTGACATCTTAGAACTCCTATCTCCTTGTCTATACTTATGTCTCTAAGAGATGAAGTAGACTATATGTTGTCCGTATGCATAGTGATTTATTAGAGCTGCCTAGGAACACTTATATCTCTAAGAGGTCAAATAAACTACATTGTTGTTCATTCCCACAACAATTTATTAGAGCTGCCTAGGAACATTGAGGTATCTGTGATCAAAAGACTTTTATTAGATACTCTCAATCTTTCCGAGTCTAGCCATTGGTTTGGTTTTAGATTTTATAATTAATGACTTACTCGTTTTATTTTTTTTTTAATACATTTTATTGATTTTTTACAGAGAGGAAGGGAGAGGTATAGAGAGCTAGAAACATTGATGAGAGAGAAACATTGATCAGCTGCCTTCTGCCCACAACCAAGGTATATGCCCTTGACTGGAATCGAACCTGGGACTTTTCAGTCCACAGGCCGATGCTCTTATCTACTGAGCCAAACCGGCTGGGCAACTTATTCATTGTTTTAAAGGTACTACATATGTAGTAGTTATTATAGATCCTTTTATATATAAGTCTCTTTTGGTGTGTCTTTGGGATAAGAAAATTTTGTCAAATAAAGAACTGAAAATTTCATTGCATTGCAGAAGTAAACTTTCATATTTTTAAATGTCTTAAAATTTTTATCATAGATTTTCAAGTAAATAAGCTAATGTTTCTAATCAAGGTAGTTTGGCAAATTTTTGCCTTTGCTGGGGACTTGAACTTTACTATATGAAATGAGTTGGAAGTTTTGTAAGTAGATAACATAGCTAGAAATGCACAAACTTAATAAATTCATGTTTAAATGGTGATTCTCCAATCTTTTTAAAAATAATTGCTTTTCCAGGTTGACACTTACCCAGCAAATAATGTTATTCTTTGAATTTTTATAATCTTAAAAATTTTAAGTATTTATTTTTTAAATGCAGTGTACATTTTGGTTCTCTAGGGTTTATTAAATTTTGAGAGACTTTAATGTTAATTTTGGAAAGAAATGACAATAAGATTGTAAAACACTTCAAAAATAATTAGTAAAATCTGTTAAATGAATACATTGTGTGATTGATTACTCAATTTGAATGAGCATCTGCTGTGTGCCAGGCAGTGTGTTTGCTGGGTTGTGAAAGAGAGACCTAGTTTACTTCCATGGGTTGTACAGTACAGCTGGTGACTGACATTGACCTAGGAATTAAGAGTACTAATTAAAAAAAAAATTAATACTGCTTTAAAATAAAAATGAACTACCCAGGCCAAGTAACTCAGTTGTTTAGAGCATTGTCCCAATAACCTAAGGTTGTGAGTTGATATCTGGTCAGGGCACATACAAGAATCAGCCAGTAAATGTATAAATATGTGTAATAATAAATCTCTCATATTCTCTCTCTCTCTCTCTCTCTCTCTCTCTCTCAAAAATCAATAAAAAGAATTAGTGAAGTTTAACCAACTATACTTCAATTTTTTATTTCCAAATACATGATCCTAGACCTTACCTTCTTCATGGTTCATATTATTATAATCACTACATTTTTTTAAAGTTGATTTTATAGAGAAAGAAGTAAGGAGAGAGAAACATCGATTTGTTGTTCCACTTATTTGTGCATTCATTGGTTGATTTTTGTATGTATTCTGATTGAGAATCAAACCTTCAACCTTAGTGTATCAAGCTACCTAGCCAGGGCTTATAATCACAATCATTTGCCATGCAATTCAGCTTAAATATTTATATATAACTAGAGGCCCAGTGCATGAAATTCATGCACAGGGGCTGGGGGGTTGGGGTGTCCCTCAGCCCAACTTGCACCCTCTCCAATCTGGGACCTCTTGATTGGAGAAGTTGGCTTGAGGGATGTCCAACTGCTAGTGGGATCAGGCCTAAACGGGCAGTCAGATCTCTCAAAATCCAGGACTGCTGGCTCCCAACTGCTCGCCTTCCTGATTGCCCCTAACCACTTCTGCCTACCAGCCTGATCACCCTAACCACTCCCATGCCAGCCTGATTGATGTCTAACTGCTCCCCTGCCAGCCTGTTTGTCCCCAACTTCCATCCTCTGCTGGCTTGGTCACCCCTAACTGCTCTCTCCTGAAGGCTTGATCGCTTCTAACTGCCCTCCTTTTCAGGCCTGGTCCCTCCCAACTGCCCTCTCCTGCTGTCCAACTTGTGGTGGCCATCTTGTGTCCACATGGGGGCAAGATCTTTGTCCACATGGGGGCAAGATCTTTGTCCACATGGGGGCAGCCATATTGAGTGTTGGAGTGATGGTCAATCTGCATATTACTCTTTTATTAGATAGGATAGAGACCTAGTGCACAGGAGGGGGCCAGGTGGTTTGTCCTGAAGGGTGTCCCGGATCAGGGTGGGGTTCCCTTGGGGCATGGGATGGCCTGGGCTAGGGGCCTATGGTGATTTGCAGGCTAGCCATGCCCCCTGGCAACCCAAGCAGAGGCCCTGGTATCTGGAATTTATTTACCTTCTTTATTGAAACTTTGTAGCCTCCTGCTCCCGCTGCTGCCATTTCTGTTTGGATTTGTTTACCTTCTATATTTGAACTTTGTAGCCTTGAGTGGAGGCCTGGGCTCACCAGGATGTGTGGAAAGCTTAGCTTCCTCCATTGCCAGGGAAACCCAAGCTTCCCTCCTGGTAGCCATCTTGGTTGGATTTATTTGCATACTTGCTCAGATTGGCTGGTGGACGTGGCTTGTGGGTGTAGTGGAGTGGTGGTTAATTTGCATATCACTCTTATTAGGTAGGATAGTATAAGTAATTTTTCTAAGTTAGTAATATTGCTAAAATTCTCCAGAAATTTTATGCAAGAAATGAATTCAAGTGTACCTATTAACAAAATCTCAATATAGTCTCTATCTCAAGGAATATGTTTTGAGATCCTAAAATGGGAATAATTATGAACTGGTATTATATAAATAGAATAAAGGAAGTGAAAAATATTACTTTCTAAAGGATATGTACATTCCAGTTCATTTATTAACAATTCATTTTTTCTTTAGCTTATAAAAAAGGAGGAATATGATTTTCCCCAAATGGGTTTTTTAAAGAATTATTAACCAGAGACATTAATAGAAGGCAGACACTTTATTTGGGTTTAGAGTGCTTGTGAGGGGGAAAAATGCCTTTATATTCAATACATTCTAAAAGTTTTTTTTTTTAATAGTACCTTTAAATCCACTCAGTCTAATAGGTCATGAGTAGAAAGACTATCTGTGCTATTCAGTACAGTGGTTAGTAGCCACAAATGCCTACTGAGCACTTAAAATGTGGAACTGAATTTTTAATTTTATTAAGCTTTAATTTAAATAACTACATGTGACAGTATACTCTAAAGCATGATTCGGCATAATCGCTCTTATCTAAAAGCAATTCAGTACAATATTTATCTTACAAAGTCCATATGTCAACGGTTAGTTTGGGTTTTTTTGTTTTTGTTTTTAATATATTTTATTGAGTTTTTACAGAGAGGAAAGGAAAGGGAGAGTTAGAAACATCGATGAGAGAGAAACATCTACCAGCTGCCTCTTGCACACCCCCTATTGGGGATGTGCTCGCAACCAATGTACATGCCCTTGACCGGAATTGAACCTGGGACCTTTCAGTCGCAGGCCGACGCTCTATCCACTGAGCCAAACCGGTTTTGGCATCAACGGTTAGTTTTAAAATTTCTAGGCCGAATATGAAAAATCAAAGGTTAGAGGAGGCTCTGACATATGGCTGAGTTGTATTTGTTTTTTTAATATATTTTTTTCTTGTTTTTTGTTGTTTTTTTAAACAAGGAAAATATGCAGAATCCTAAGAAATGGATAAGCAAAATAGAGATAGACTCAAAGATAGAGAACATGCAGACAGCTCCAGTGACAGGGATATTAGGGGAGGGGGGATTTTGGGGGGTGGAAGTATTGAACTTTTTAGAAAAAATAACTCATGGACACAGACAACAGTGTGGTGATTGGGGTAGGGGGGAGGAGGGAGTGGTGGAAGAGGGTATAGGGGAGATAAGGTGATGAGAGAAATGTTGAATTTCAGGTTGGACCTATGACATAAAGGAACTCATCAGTGTCCTAAATGGAAAAAGGAAAGCCAATTCCTACAGTCTCCACCATCTTCAAAATGGGATAATCCTATATAATAAAAGCCCAGTGACTAAAATAGTGGAATGACCAAAGACCAGAATGACCATGGCCCCTCACCCACCTGCTGCTTCTCAGCAAGCAGTTAGGGGTGGTCAAGCAGGCAGAGGTGGTTAGGGAGCAGTCATGCAGGCAGAGACAGTTAGGGACAATCAGGCAGGCAGAGTATTTAGGGGTGATCAGGCAGGCAGGCAAGTGGTTAGTGGTGATCAGGCAGGCAGAGGTGGTTAGGGGCGAACAGGCAGGCAGAGGGGGTTAGGAGTGATCAGGCAGGCAGGTGAGTGGTTAGGTGCAATCAGGCAGGCAGAGGGGTTAGGGAGGATCAGGTAGGCAGAGGTGGTTAGGGGGGATAAGGCAGTTTAATATATAGTTTAATGATTTTAGAGAGGAAGGGAGATAGAGAAACACCAATGATGAGATTGGTTGCCTCATGCATGCCCCTTGTTGGGGTAGAGTAGGCAACCTGAGCATGTGCCCTGAGTGGGAATCAAACCATGATCTCCTGGTTCAACCACAGAACCACATCAGCTGGGTGACACATGGCTATTTTAACAACAACAAACAGATCCTTTCATGGGGCCTTCCTCATTGCAAAGCCCACATGTGTTCTGTGTAAGTTGTGGAGAAGGAAGAGATTGTTTCCTTGGTTTTGGTTATAGGTTACTCTCATTTTTTTCTACCTCCTCACTGTATTCCAGAGCGAAGATGAACGTTTTAGAGTGATTAAAGATTTCAGCAAATGAGACACACTGTGATTGTCATGACTGAGGGCAGCATGTTAGGAAGTCACAGATCATGTTGGGTGAAATCCTTGTCAGAGTTAGATGATCTTAGAAATAAAACAGCTATTTGGTTTCTTTCTTCCATCTCCCAAAAGGATACAATGTCATGTTCAAGGTTTAGAAAAAGTAAAAGGTCATCTGTCATTCATGGACTTGGAGATTACCCAATCCTTATGATTACCCATTTTACAGATGAAGAAACCAGAGCCAAAGAGTTTAACTACACCAACGTCTCACCAGTGTTTGGGGGATGATGATTTCACTGTGGTTTTTAAAGTCTTTATAATAGTTTTAAGCAAGATGTGTGTGTGTGTGTGTGTGTGTTTTGCATATATTTAGAAATATGTAGACATGATAGGATCTTATATAAAGAGTATTATAAAAATCACATCTTTTTAAAAATATATATTTTTATTGATTTCAGAGAGGAAGGGGAAAGGAGAGAGAGAGAGAGAGAGACATCAATGATAACAGAATCATTGATTGGCTGCCTCCTGCTCACCCCTTACTGGGGATCAAGTCTGCAGCCTGGCATGTGCCCTGACTGGGGATCGAATCATGACCTGATTCATAGGTCAATGCTCAACCAGTGAGCCATGCTGGCCAGCTAAAAATCACATCTTTTGAACAACGTGGGAATACTGTCCATTTTCAAATGTGGCACCTTTACCTCCTGATACCAGGAGTCCCACTATGTTAGTGTGTGTTTTTTGCCATTTAATCTTTTTTTAATTGCAACTGACACACAGCATTATATTAGTTTCAGGTTTAGCTTTAGGTGTACACCCGTTAGACATTGTATAATTTACGAAGGACTAGATATTATATAATTTGCTAAGAGATTAGATATTATATAGTTTACTAAATGATTAGACATATTATCACATCTTGTACCCTTGTGACACCATCCGTAATTATTAGAATATTAATCACTACATTCCCTATGCTGTATTTTACATCCCTGTGACTATTCTATAACTACCAATTTGTACTTCTTAATCCCTTTACTTCTTTCACCCACTGCCCAATTCCTCTGCCATCTGGCAACTGTCAAAATGTCCTCTGTATCTATGAGTTTGTTTCAGTTCTGCTTATTAATTTATTTTGTGGGGTTTTTTTAGATTGAATTGTTGATAGACATCTATTTATTGCCATTTTATTGTTCATATTTTTGTCTCTTCTTCTACTTCTTCAAGAAGATACTTTAACGTTTCATGTAATACTGGTTTAGTAGTGATGAACTCCTTTAGCTTTTTCTTGTCTGGGAAGCTCTTTATCTGTCCTTTGATTCTAAATGATAGCTTTGCTGGGAGAGTAATCTTGGTTGTAGGTTCTTGCTTTCCATCACTTTGAATATTTCTTGCCATTATCTTCTGGGAGTGTGTTTATTTTTAATGCCAGCAAATTTTTGTTTGGGAATTAATATGTACTTCCATTTTTAAGGATAAGTCTTTTGCCAAAATGGGAAATATAAGCTTTTTAAATTTACAAAAACTTGAATTTCCAAATATTTTACACCAATAGGGAATTGATGCAGTTTATACTAATTGTTCTAATATTCCTCAGGTAAAACATTTTTCTGAAACACCAAATTTATAAGGAGATAACCGTAAGCTCAAGTAAATTATTCAATTTGCTAAGTTATAAGCTCTGATATTTTCACATAATGTTTCCACATTTACTTTGGTGGGTTAAGGTAGTCGATAGGCTTATGGTTACCCTCTCGAGCAACTCCAAAACAAGACAAGGTTATTGCTACTGCTGTGTTGACTGTTCGAGTTACTTCTTCTGGTGTCTTCCCCAGAGATGGATTCACTTCCATTATGTCCAATCCTGACAGTAGCCCTACAGCAACCAACAGAAATAAAGTAATTTGTTAAATAGTTGACATTTTAAATTCAGTATCTCTGAAATGTTACTCAGGAGTGTAAAGAGGGGGTAACCAACTGAAACCACTTCGGTTACTGCCTCTTGCAATGGGCATTCTGGAAGTGTCAACCCGGTCTTGATTTTCAGACCAGGCAGTATCTATAACAAAAATGCAATATGCTAATTGACCGAATGGTCAAACAGCGGAATGATCATCCAGATGACCACACTATGACACCCACCTGGTGCCAAGTCAGCCAAGGCAGGTGCAATGCAATTGGTCAGGGGCCCAGCCATTGCCTCATGATCATCCTGGGCCTTCCTCTGCTGGGGCAATCCATCACAGAGCCCGGGCTAGGTGGGTGTGGCCTACCTCTTTGGGGCAATTGTTTGCGGGGCTCCCAGACTGTGAGAGTGCACAAGCCGGGCTGAGGGACCCCCACACCCCAGTGCAGGAATTTCGTTCAGGCTTCTAATAAGTATATATTGGCCATGTGTACACTTGATTCTTTATTCACTTAGATTTATACCTACCTGTTTTGCAAATTTCTTCTGTAATGTAGAGACCTTCTCTGTAAGACAGACCCCCGATGACTGGTGTGCCAGTAGCTGGTGTGACAGATGGATCCAATCCATCAACATCATAGCTCAGATGAATTGGCCTTTTCTTTCTTTTAAGAAGAGGGAAAGCAATTCAGATTAAAGTTACTGGCTTATTACTTACTAGATAAATATAGTTCTTACTTTGCTCTGTAATAAGGAACAACCTAGTGAAGTTCCATGGTTTTACATAAAGGCTTTATTAATAACTTACATTGATTAGTACCAGTAGTCAGTTTGCTTAACAATACTTATGTTGCACACACAAGCATCATACCTTCCTAGTAGGTAGCTGAGTGTTTCTTCCATCACTTTGCCAATTCCCAGTCTGTCCACTTCAGTCATTGAAAAGTACTTAATACCCAGAGTTTTCAAAAGGTAGCTATGAAAGAGGAGAGAGTAAGTAATTTATAATTAACATGGAGGCTTACCCTATGCCCTCTTGTCTCCTTTTAAGAAAAGATCAATGTGCTAAGATACATAAAATATGTAAGTTCTGCGAACTCTATGTATACATCAATATATTTTTACCAGCAAGTCAATATAAGAATCATTTGAATATATACACATACGTGGATGTACCAAATACTTGGTACTTAAAATAATTTTTTACCATAGGTTTGGCCAGTGCACCTAGCATGCAAAAGGACAAAAATGAAGGCAAATTGCATCAAGGAATAAACTTACTGTTCCCCAGGGTCCACGTCTCTCAGACCAATATACACAATATCTTTGGCAGTTATGCAGGGCGTCACCCAGGAGAATCCTGGTACATCAGGGATCTAAAATTGCAAATTTTCATTTGGTCATGTATACGTCTCTTGAACAAATCTTACATTGGCAGTTAAGAGCACTTGTTGGATAGATCTTCTATTTAGAACATACGTGTTTAGGAATCATTAAAAGACAATACAAAACGACGAAGAGAATGCCTGCCTCCCCTGGTGGTCCCCATGGCTCCTTTGGCCCTACCCAGCTCATCCTGTGGCCCAGACCTAACCTGAACCATTTCTGCACCATTTCTATTGGGCCCTGCTTTCCCAGCACTCTTCTGTAAGGAAGTCAGTGTACTTCCATTACTTTCCATCCCTTCTTTACTTCTCTTTCTCAAAGCCCAGAAGATGGCTTCGAGTTACTAAAGAAAAATGTTTGCCCAACCCTTTGGTTGCTCTTCACATGTTCTGGAGTTTAGCTTGGCTGTTTCTGTAGGCTAGCTGCACGTTTTGCAAGTGTATACACCTATCGGTTGGTTGTCACTTCAGAAAACATTACTTCTGGGCATTAAACCTAACATTTCCAGGTATCATCATAAAGACCAATATGCTACAGGTAAAGTAATAAACATTGTTTTATTGACATACTACTAAGCATATAAATAAAAATGAGCCACAATGTTAAGTTTTAATATGGAATTTCATCTTGCATCTTTTAGAAAGTAAGTTTCTAGGGAGCAAGGAGGCAGTCCTGCTTATGGTTTAGCTATGTGCTCCTCACAGTGAAGATGTTAAATAAACCACTGTGATCTGCATTTCAAGAACTCTGTTTTTGAAAAGGCCCTATGATGTGGAGGGGACACTTGGTACCACGAGAGGCTGTGTGGCATGTAGTAGAAAAAGGTCGGCCCTAGGACACCAGTTCTGGCCCTCGCCTGGTGTGTGATCTTAGGTGAGTTGGTCAATGTCTGAACCTCTGCTGACTTGCTTAGAATTATTCTCTTCTCCACCTAAAAAGGGTCGTTTAAGAATCATACGGGAGATACAAGGTCAGTTTGCAAGCCATCAAAAAGGGAGAGGTACCTAGCTAGCGTCACCATCTTTATCCTCCAACCCTTTGCTTATCTGCTGCCAAGAAAAGAGTTTGAGATTACTCCAAGAATACAATGGCAGAATGATTCTTTTGTCCCTCCACCTCCTGAATAAAATGCCAACCAGCCTCTTACCTTTCCCTTTAGTTCCTTCAGGAGGAAAGACACAGGCTGTCCATGCAAGTTCCCACTTGAGGTTGTCTGTGGAGTGTTGATATCCGTGTGAGCATCCACCCAAATGACACAGAGATCCGGGTGGACCTTGGCGTGGCCGGAGATGCTTCCGATGGCCAAACTTCAGAGGAGAGAGTTTGTGTGAGCATCAGGGTTGCAATAGCCTCACAAGCATCATATTATTAACTCACTTAATGCTCATGCTTGATTTTCCTTTAAGTCAGCTGATATTGCTCATAGTTTTCAATGGGAGATGCCAATTAAACAATTGTAGCAACAGAGAAAGTACAGCTTACCCTTCATAGTTACCAAGAAGTTATAGTTACATAAAGGTATCACTACATAATTTGAGATACTTTTCAAAACCACCTTCTAATAAAATTGTAAATTATAGTTTCACCAAAAATTAAATAATGTGTAAAAACACTACCACACAAGGAATTCCTTAGCATGAGACTATTCCACGTTCAGGGTTGAATCAGGCTTATTTTTTGCGCTCTCATTTCTCTGGGTAAGTATTTAATTCTCCCCAGTGAGTCATGACAGAGTCCTTCCATTTTTCTTAAAACCCGTTTACCATTGGAGAGCTTGACTCAGCAGCCCTTACATCCACCTGAGTAAGCATATCCCAGGTGCTCGTTCTATTCAATCAGATCCTCCACTTGAACTTCCTCCTCTAACCCACTCTTAGCCGGGTCAGAACCCTCCAAGTTCACATCCAGCACTCCAAGCTCCGGAAAATGTGCCTGAATGGAACAGCTCAGCAATATCTTACACAAAAGTTAAAAGGTTAGGATTGGCTATACAATACCCTATGTGCAAATGTTTTGAGTACCATTCAGAGAATCGTGAACTTCTCAATTCTCAATGTGGAAGCAATTGTGCCCCTCTCTCTTAAAAAAAAAAAATCAATAAACTAGTCTTTAAAGAAATAAAGAGGCTCATGCACGTCTTTGCCATATTATTTGTAATTTTGAAAAATACTTGAGTATTGGACAACATGTGTATGTATAGTGATATTAACACTTTAATGAAAAATTATGCAACAGTAAAAATGTGCTTATATATCATGAAATAAAGAAAAGGAAATTTCAACTGTGGATTAAGAACAAAGCAGGATAACACACACACACACACACACACACACACACACACACACACACCATTGTTAAACAAAATCATGTCAGGGAAATTCCGGTTGAAATGGTTGTTAGGAAAAACTACAATTCCCACTGATTATTGTTTGTTTGTTTTTTACTTTTACATGTGTGTGTATTTCAAAAAAACTTTATAATTATTACTTTTATAATGGAAAACATTTAAAAATGTTGACCTACATTTGTTCCTATGATCAGTAATCAAGCGCAATAAGTTGACTGTAAATTTCCTCGGTGCTTATTTAGAAATGTAAGCCTCTGCTGAATATTGTACTGTAATTCATTCACATGTAATGTATTTTCTGTTGTAATAAAAAGATAATTCAAGATTTCAAATAGAGCTAAGTGTGTTTCCAAAATAAAGTAGTAACCAGCAATATTTTTTAAATAGAAAATTTGATATAAACTCTTGATCAGTGCTTTTCCTCCCATATGTTCTCTCTTCCCACGTTTTTGGTTAAACCTTCATGCCATCAGTGCCAATCTCCCATAGCCCCTCATTAAACAGTACCTGTGGTCTCCACCCAGCACCACGCTGACCCTTCCATTTTTCTTGGCTTCTGCCACCACGCCGGCCAGCTGCTCATTGGCTTTTCCCACGGACCTTGGATTCTTCACGATTTGAAATGGACTGTCATTAGGGACATCGGCAAAGGGCAGGTCCCCATAATCCTTCACGTCACACTCTGTTGTTAAAATTAAAAGTTGCAGGTTACTACATAAAGACTACAAAACAGTCTATGCAGCCTGATTTTAAATGTACAAAAGAGGCCATTTTCCAAAATATAAGCACAGAAAGAGTCTGAACAGACTTGAAAATTGTGAAGGTAGACAGCACATCTACTTTTGCCTGACATCGTCTCACCTGGGCTGCACTCCGGCGCCTGCTGTATGCTGGGTTCTCCGTAAATGCTCGAATCTGCCTGTTAGGCTGTAAGTACAGCAGGGTGACCTGGTCTGGGTTTAGTGGGTGGTGTCGCTGTCTTTGTCTCTGTGCTCATGTGCTTCCTACTTTTCCACAATAAGCGTGTATTGTATTTATAGTAAAGAAACCATATTTAAAAAGAAGAAAACACACCATTATTTTGTTAACAATCCTTCACCTGCTGAAGCAGTCCAGCTCCCTCTTCTGCCCATTGTACCTGCCTCACAGTGCTATTGTCAGAATTCAATACGAGTAGGTGATTACCTTCAGTCCTAACACTTCAGCAAGCCAGGAAAGAAAGACTTTGTTATCACACTTTTCCAATACGGTAACCCAAAGTTCCTAAGGACCTTGCTGCACTTCCTCAAAGGCCATGCATTATGCCTCAAGGTGCAGAGCTCCGTGTAACATATTGATACGGGCTCGATTCAATGTTCTGAACTAAGCGGTCATTGTGTATTGTATTCATGCCTCTATGTATGTGTCTGTGATTCAGTAACACCTTCAAGAGATTTAACCTGATATAAAATGTGAGCAAATTATGCTTGTTCACTGACGGACTAGTCCAGTTCATTTACCCAGGCTTCCTGTTCTCTACCGGGGTCTCTCTCTTTTTTTTTCTTAGATCTATGATACATAATTCTTATTTACTAAAATGTATTCTTTTTCAGCTTACCAGTCAGTGAGTTTTAGAAATATCTACAGTCTTTTAACCACCAGCACAATCAAGATTTAGAATACCTCCATATCCCCTAAGTTCCCTCACGCCCATAAGCAGCCAGAGATAGTCAGTGCACCCCATGGGATGGTTGTGCCCTTTCTTTATTTACCAGTTGGGGGCATTCTGTTGTTTCCAGTCTGGCTGTTATAAACAATGCTGCTCTATACCTTCAAGTACAGACAAGGCCTTGTGAGAACATGTTTTCATTTCTTTTGGTTAAAGACCTTGGAGTAGATTTGCTGGGTCAAAGGATAAATGTATCTTTCTTTAAGAAACTGCCCATCTTTCCCAAGTGGCTCGATGTATCAGTATGCATTCTCATCAGAAATATATGAGCGTTTCCTGTTGCTCCATATCCTCGCCAACACTTTATCCAGGTTTTACATATAAAGATGACACTTACTTTAGTTGTACTTTTGTTGTTGTTGTTGTTTTTGCTTTTAGTTTTTTTTTAGCTGTACTTTTTAAGATACAAAGTATTTTTCATTTGCACGCTCACATATGCAAATATATATGTGTGTATAATATGAGTAATCATACATGCAGTATTATTACTAGGCCATCTTTTTGCTTACACTCCATGTTTATTAATAAAAGTGTTGTGACTTAATACTCCCTTATTATTTCTGATATTGTAGTGAATTTCCATGGGCACATTCTCAGAGGTTAGCCCTCCCCTTAAAGAAAAATAAGTAGCAGTTCTTGCAACAACCAAGAGAAGCGAACTGCTCCAGCAGGTTCGAGGACGTGCCTGGAGGGAAAGGCAGAAACGGGAAGGAAATAAAGTTTTGACTTAATAGCTCTTTCTGGTGTTTGTGGTAGGCATTTGTGGATGTAGCTGGCCATTTACAGGAAGGTTTACTGTTACTATTCAACACTGTGGAAAAGTGGAATTTGGCATAGCCCTCTGGGCTGTGGTTGAGCTGCTGAAGTTTTCTAGGTATCACATCCCCAGAAAAAACAACTCAATCACCTGATACTGTGATACTGACTCAGAAGCCCCAGGTTCATCCCATTTCCTATCCTTTTTCTCATGGCCCAGTTTTCAGAAGTTACAACAGAAGGACGGGATCCGAGGAAGCCTGTTAGTTAATACAACAGGCTGCCCAGTTCACTGATTCCTGGTGGCACAGGGTTTGGAAAAGCCTTGAGACTAAGCAACTACCCCTTCCTCCTCCTCCCCTTCCTCCTCCTCCTCCTCCTCCTCCACCTCCTCCTCCTCCTCCTCCTCCTCCCTCCTCCTCTTCCTTCTCTCCCTTCCACTCCTCCTCCTTTATCTTCTCTGCTTGTTTCTCTTCCTCCTCCCCCTCCCCCTCCTCCTCCTCTTCCTCCTTCTTTTCCTCTTTTTCTTTTTTCTCCTCCTCCTCCTCCTCCTCCTCCTCCTCCTCCTCCTCCTCCTCCTCCTCCTCCTCCTTTAAGAGCTGGGAAGGCTGGGGGCCCCTTCTTCCTTGCATAGGACTTCCCAGTGCCCCTCCCCTTAGAGAACCATGCCCTGGGAGCCTGGTTCCACAACTCACTCATCCGAGATGCTCACTTTCCAGTCCAAACTTGACCTCCTGGGACCCAATTCCTATGCACACACATTCTCTTACAAAGTAGTCTGGCTGGAAAGACAAGATATCTAAGTAATTGATTGTGCATTCTTTCCACACGCTGCTTCTCTGTATAGGGTGCACATCTAAGGTTCTAGCCAGCACTGAATTCTGTGGTACAGATGTCATTGCAGACAGTCCCCATGTTAGCAGGAGCCTGTGCATCCTTCAGAACAGGAAAGAATTCAGGCAGATCATCTTTCTGAGAAGGCTAATCCCTATTTTGTAAAACTACTGTTTGAAATTCTCTGCTATTTAGATAGTCCCTTTTTCTGTAAAGTCAACTCTGCCATTTTTAGGAAGTCCCTTATTCTGAAAAATACCTTTGCTTTCTAGCCTGCTTGAATAATAAGGAAGATAAACTCAGCTGTCTGACCTTGTAGGCCAGAGACTAGAAACTTCCACACTCTTGTGCCAGATGTATTTTTTAATTGAATGGAACTGTCCTGTTTTCAAGGCCACAAGCTTCCAGCAAGATAACCACTAAGCACACATAGGGCTGGCTCTTTAATAAAAAGAAAACTCCTGCTTGTTGCTTTGCTCAGAATTTGAAAGACATTTTCTCTGAGCCCACAGGTATAGAATAAAGTGGAACTTCATCTCTCTGAGTGTTGCTTGGTTTGTCTCCGATCTTCTGCAACCTTTCAAGCTAGACATTACCTTGTTCTTTAAGCTTCTCAAGCAGGCCAGCCTTTCTCAGAACTTTAGGGCCTTCTTCCACTCCTCCTCGAGGCTGAACAATTGAAAAAGAAGGGAATTCAGACATCATCTTGGTCATCAGATGCACAGAATAGAAAATTCATTGTTTAATCCATTGGATAGTAGTAACAGGATCTTTTTGAGTTCCTAAAGAGCCAGGATTTTACATTTAACTATCACAGCAAGGTAGATTGGATTACTCCTATGTCAAATATAATGGTCTCGAATCAGAAAGGTTATCTAATGCTCCTTCCCTCATGCAGCTAACAAGTGGCAGAACCTTTAGGACCTTAACCCAGTCCTTTGGATTCCAAAACCTGCATCTCCTCTTCCCATCACCCTATGTTACCAACTTAGTGAACATTTGTTTTGTGGCAAAGCACTATGATAAATGGAGACACCGCGATTAAAAAGAGAGGGTTTTTGTCTTTGATTAACTCAAAAGCTAAGAGGGAATTTGGATATTTAAGATCAACTATAGCACTGGGAAATTGTCTTTGAAGTAGGTACAAGATGCCATAACAACAAAACAGGATGCTTCTATCTCTGCTGGGGACAGAGGGTGTCAGGTGGAGCAGATGACATTTCAGCATTGTGTCGCAACATGAGTTCAGGATGATGGATGGGGGTGCTGGAGGAACTTTGTAAATCAGGTCAATAGCTTGAGTAAAGGCATTTACTCAAATATAATTATTATTAATTTCAGAGAGGAAGGGAAAGGGAGAGAGAGAAACATCAATGATGGGAGAAAGAATCATTCATCAGCTTTCTTCTACATACCCCCTTCTGGGGATTGAGCCCAAAATCTGAGCATGTGCCCTGACTAGGATTTGAACCGTGACTATAGAGGGAACCTGGGAAGGCACATGGGCATTTCTTTAATTATTGTCAGCTGAATCCAGTGGCTTCGGCAAAGCCACATCCTGGAAACACGCTTTGCCAAAAGGCAGGAGTGTTGTCAGCTTGACCTTCAGCCCAGGTGCCAGGGGGTGGGTTTTGTTATTGAAATCCAGCCAAGCACCAGGAATGAATATGACTTGGGCCCACCCAAGAATGTACATAAATCTCCTTTGTCTTGACTTTTAGTAAAACTTCCTGTTTTTTTGCTGTATAAAATAAACATGCTGTATTGACTTGGGGTCACTGTCCCTATCCCTCTCAATGTCAGAGGACAGTGGTCCCACTTGGCCCCAGCTTTTTCCTTCTATCTCTGTGTCTGTCTCTTTCTTTCATTTTCTCAATCCCCAGCTGCCCCTACTCAGGAACTGGACCACTCTCTAGCTACGCTGGACATGGAAAAGAAATATTTACATGTGACCTCTTGGTAATTGTGACTTCCTGGTTCATAGGTCAACACTCAACCACCGGGCCACCCCAGCCAGGCCAGTAAAGGCATTTTTTTAAAGGTAGCATGGGAGACAGTCATGTGCAGATCCTCACAATAGTAAGGGAGGGTTCTATGGGACAAAGCAGGCAACAGGGAAAATCACCTGGCAGTTGGCTGAACCCACAAAGACCAACCTGGTATTTCAACTTTTGGCCTGCTTAATAAACACAGTGAGCAAGAATTCTAGCCTTGCTGTTTTTATATCCAGGAAGCCAGCCTCGTGGCAGATTAGTGACCTTAAAGAAACAGTTCTTTCATGTATCTCTCTGACTCTAACTTCCAACATAGTTTTTGTTTTTTATATATATTTTTATTTATTTAGAGAGGAAGGGAGAGGGAGAGAGATAGAAATATCAATAATGAAAGAGAATCATTGATTGGCTGCCTCCTGCACATCCCCTAATGGAGATTGAGCCTGCAACCCGGGCATGTGCCCTTGACTGGAATAGAACCCAGGACTCCCCAGTCCACAGGCCATGCTCTATCCACTGAGCCAAACCAGCCAGGGCACCAACATGGTTTTTACATATAAAGTTACTTCCTGTTGTCAGAAAGTGGAAGTGCCAAAGACACCTGTGTTGTCCCTAGGATTGGGCTGTGGCACCAAACCAAGCAAATATTTCTTCCCAGTTCAAATTAGCAGATGACTTGGCCTGGCTGCCAAGCAAATCCTCGAAGTCCAATTTCTGTCCCTGGCAGGAAGGGCCTCCACATGCTCTGCCTGACACATTTTCTCCTTCAGTCCATTCCCTTTTCTCTTGGCTTTGGGATTAAACAGTCCTGTCTGGAATCACACACTGGAGGCTATGTGACCCTGAGCAGATTTCCAGACCTCTCTGACCCTTAGTTAACTCAACTGTAAAATAAATATAAAAGCTACCTCATTTTTTGCCACTACCTCTCTCCTATTTCCCACTGCCTCGCAAGAGGGTGAGATAGGAGAGGGTCTTTTCTCGGACTCAACCTTCTAGTCATTTGTCCTCTAACTCTCTCCCTTGCTTGTTTGTCAAACTTTTACTTCCTTTAGGTGAGGACAGGTGCTTATATGTTGGCCATTTTCCCCCTCTATTCTATGGCTTAGTGTAGAAAAATATCTCTCAATGTCCTTATTATCATGAATGAGACAATAAGCTTCATTATCACTGGGCCATGTTTTAATGGGGGAAGGGCTGTAGTGCAAAAGAAAAAAGAATTAACTGAAGACAGAAAATGCATCAGGCTATATCCCCTAGAGGGCTGTTACCATCAGCCTAAGGCTTTCTGCTAATGTCCAGGGACTAGAGCATGTTTGTGCTGCTTCTGTCCTCCCTCCCTCCCTTCTTCACTCCCTCCCTTCCTTCCTTCCATTTCCCTTGCTCCATTTCTTTTGTCAGTTTTTTCAATTCTATCTTTGTTAGAACCTGCCCAAGAATAAGTGAGCATATTGTGAATTTTGCAATTAATCATTTAAAAGAACAATTTCTGTGTCGGCAGCATGTTTTTGCATTCTGGGAAAGACCTTTAAAGGGTTTTCAGGGAAAGTGAATCAGTATTTACTGAGAGTCCACATGCAGTTTGGGTCTCTCACCTCTGATCTGTCCTCTTTGGTTTTGCAATAAGAAGCCAGAGTGCAAAGTAAAAGTTCAAAACTAGGAGGAGGGCCCTGGCCGGTTTGGTTCTATGGTTAGAGAGTGGGCCCGTGGACGAAAGGTGCCCCGGTCAAGGGCACCCATACCTCATCCCGGGCTTGGTCAGGGCACCTGTGTGAGGCAACCAATATATCCCACCACCTCTTTCTCCTCCCCCCCGCCCCCTCCTCCTCCACTCTCTAGAAATCAATAGAGAAAATATCCTCACTCCTAGGTGAGAATTTTAAAAAAAAAGAAGTAAGAGGAGTATAAAACACTACCCAGGTGGGCAAAATAGTTATAAGAAACTTGTAGGAAACTCCATTTAAAACAACAACAAGAAAAAAACTTGAGGAGTTTCAATTCACACTTGTCTTGTTTGCTTTTTTTTCTTTTCTTTTAAGAACAGATAAGTGTTGAACTCTAAGGTGACTCATTATATTTATCAGAATGAGTGTGGCCAGGGCAGGAAAATAAAATACTTTATTATAATGTTACTGGCATGTTTGGCAATCTGGGAGTTTTATAAATCCATCAGTCCTTTCAACATTACTAACTTACAGTCAGATTTTCTTTCTTTTTTCCTCTCTTAAAGAAAGGTACACAAAGGATTCTACTTAGTCCATGAACTAACACTTGTATAGAATTACTAAAACCCTTAAAAATAGGAATCATTCACAAGGCTGCATAAAGCAATCATATGTAAGCTATCCAAATTAAAAGAACTCTATGACATTTTTCTAGTCATTCGTTACATAGCTAAACAAATGTGTTTTCTTAAAATTCTTTCTCTCTACAAACATACAGAGTAACACCAAAAACAATGAGAACAAGGAAATCTAATGAGAAGCTAAAATGCAGAAATAATCCATTTCCATTCAAATAAAAAAATTTCTTTTTAAAAGATGAGGGAAAGGTAGTAGATTCAAATAAAATTGGCTGTGGCTGAGATTAGGAGCCACAAAAATAACTGGGTTTGAGACCATAATTATACAATCTTACAAACTGGTGAGACAACTTTAAACTCTATGCTATTCCAGGGCCAGGTTGTCTTAGGGAACTTAACTAACCAGAAAAATAACTCCTTACTAACTTTAAAGCCTGAAACTGTCTAATAAATCCCAACTATTCAAAGGAAGGCTTGTTACTCACCTGTCCCTTTGAGAAAGGAGCTCCGATGACCCCTATGGATTTTGACTTGGAACTCATGCTCTGACGTTCCTGGCCACTGCACCCGAGGTCCCCAGCCAGTCACCAACGCCTGCAACCCTCAATGACAGGAGGCACATATTTTTTCCACTTATAATTGGGCTGAATCTGTTTATCTTATTCTAATAAGGGAGATTGGCTCCACCTACTGAACCAAAGAGTGACAGTCAACTGGAAGTCCAGTAAGTTCTTCACGTGTGGGAGAACTTGGGTCTTTAATGAAGGAAGATTATTCATGTCCCCAATTCACAGCCATTTGACAAGTCAACTAGGTTAATACCTTCTCTAATTACAATCCTTATTTCCTAATCATAATACTCTTTCTAATCTAATCAAGTCTTCCTTGTTACCTAAACAATACCTTGGTTCCAGGTGGACTAATTCAGGGAAGGGCACTTACTTCCTCCAGGGCTTGGAGTCCTTCCGTGTCAAAGAAGGGCTGGGGCTGGGAAGATGATCTCCTCACATCCCTTCAAGCCCTACAATCCTGAGTGCAAGTTTCACACACTGGGATTAATGGTTAATCAGTGAGACACATACCCCACACCGCCAGGGATAGCATCTGACTTCCTTTTCTGCTTATTATTAAAGGAGATCTTAATTGCCTCATTAATACCTGGGAGGTATTGCCATACTGATTTTTAAATACAGTGAATAGGAAAATAAGAGTCTTTGGAATCCTAATCATGATAGTAAAAACAGCCAACACTGAGTTTTTATCATGTGCCAGATGCTGTCTTGTTAGATATAATCTCATTTAATCCTTGTACCAATATTATGTCAAGTCTCATCTTTGATGCCATTTTATTGATGAGGAAACTGAAGCCCAGAGAGGTTGCCAACTGTAGAGGAAGAGCCATGATTCACTGGTAAGCATTGTGAATCCACCTAACCCAGTGGTCAGCAAACTGTGGTTCTTTGGCCCCTTGAGTGTGGCTCTTCCACAAAATACCATGGTCTGGGTGAGACTATTTTGAAGAAGTGGCGTTAGAAGAAGTTTAAGTTTAAAGAAATTTCAATCGTTATACTGTTGATATTTGGCTCTGTCGACTAACGATTTTGCCCACCATTGGCCTAACCTCTGCGCTTTCCAGTGAAGCACAAGCCACATGTCACATCCTCATGCCTGCCAGATCTGTGAGGGGAGCTCTTTATCATCATAAAAAGTATACCAATGTAGGAAAAATGCACCCTACTAATCCTTCCAGCTTGAAAATAACATGATTGTAATTTAGAGGAAAGATTCACTTAGTAGAAACTAATTTCTCTCTCTTTCTATTGGTAAGAGAGAACACTGAGGAGTATTTAAATTCCAGCAGGGCAGAGTTTTGTCTGTTTTATTCCCAGAACCTAGAACAATGCTGATATGTGACAGGCCCTCCATAAATATTTGTAGCATGTGTAAACAAGAAAACCAAGGTCTCACAGCTCCATTTTAGTAGGACTAGTTTCCAAACAGGCTTCTGATCTTTCACTTGTGGACTTGCTTGCATTAGTAGATAGTTACTTGTGGTATTTTGTATAGCTACATAATAAGTTATGGCAGGGATTTGCAACCTTTTTCATCTCAAGACACACAAAAACTAATTAGGAAAATTTTGTGGCATACCAAAAAATATACTTTTGCTAGTCTGACAAAAAAAAAAAAAAAAAAAAAGGCTATAATTTTGATGCATTGACACCAGACACCTATTGTTGTCATTTTTTTTATTTGACAATCTGAGGAAAAATAGGTTAGTGCCCCTGACTAAGGAGTCAGGTATTGCATGTTTTAAAACTTTTTTGTAGCACACCCGTTAAAATCTTTGTTTTTAGTGCTGGTATTGCAAAAAACTTTCCTGAGTGTCAGTATTCTGATAACTTTGTATAGGTTGTCACCCCAACTCCTTAATTTTTAAATAGGCAACTGAATAATTTCCCCCTTATCTTTTGTGTTTTGGAAATTTTGAATAAGTCCTCCCTACTCCAAAATTACAAATATAGGTTTCTATATTTTATTCTGTTTGCTTTAAAGTTTATCTTTTACATTTACTTCTTTAATCCATCTGCATACATCTTGGTATACTGTAAAAGTTCTCCAACTATATTTTTTCCTATGTAGTCCCCTTATCAATTTCCTAAATGAAACTCATTGAACAGTTCATCCATTTTCTGTCATTGATTCCAGTGGTATCTTAATCATATACCACGTTCTCCTAAATACACAGATCTGTCACTAAACTCCTTCTTCTGTTCCATTGGCTTATTTACCTGTTGATGCACCAAGTGCACACTGATTTATTATCATGATTTTATGTATGTCTTATTATTTGACAAGAGTAACATTTTTGGTCTTCTTTTTTAAAAAATTGATTTAGTTATTCATGGGCCTCTATACTAGAATAAGTTGTCAGGTTTTTAAAAATCCTGCTAGAATTTTTACTAAATGTATAGATTAATCGATAGATAGAAACCTTTCACATTTCATTGCTTGCATTTTGTTTTATTTTAAAAAATATTTTTATTGATTTCAGAAAGCAAGGGAGAGGGAGAATGAAATGGAAACATCAACGATGATAGAAAATCATTGATTGGCCGCCTACTGCACGATCTCCGAGCCCACAGCCCAGGCATGTGCCTTGACCAGGAATTGAACCATGACCTCCTGGTTCATAGGTCGATGCTCAACCACTGAGCCACCGTGGCCAGTCTCATTGCCTGTATTTTAAAACTCTAGCGTCTGAAAGTTCCTCTTATATCAAGCTGAGATTGCTTTCCTGTTATTTGATCCATTGACCACAATCCTTCAATTCAAGTAAAAGATGTTGTCTCAGATTCCTTGGTTCCTCTATTGTTTAGCTTGAATATCCCCAGACACCTCATCAGTTTCTTGTATTACATGATTGATTCTTTCCTTCAGGTTACCAACTCAATCATTCTCTTCAAAACATTTTCTGGTTTCCCTATGCCTATGTGTTGCATCCAGAATCAAGTGCATATGTCCAGGTGTAGAAGAAGTCATCTGGCCCACCAAAGACAGATTTGGTAATGCCTGACTTTTTTGGGTCACTGATCAAAAGTGAACGGGTCAACACTTATGTAATAGCTCGTTGGATACCTCAATCCAGATTGGCATAAACCCATTAATTAATCATTGCCTTAGCCGATAGGACCTAGAAGGATTGGCTCAGTGGAAGAGCCTCAGTCTATGGATCAAAGGGTCCCAGGTTTGATTCCAGTCAAGGGCACATATCTCAGTTGCAGGCTCCTCCCTGGCCCAGGTCCTGGTTGGGGCGTGTGCAGGAGGCAACCAATCATTGTGTCTCTCTCACATTGGTATTTCTCTGTCTTTTCCACTCTCTGAAAATCAATGGAAACATATCCTTGGGTGAGGATTTAAAAAAAAAAATTAATCTTCAGTTCATAGATACAGTTGTTCACTCTGTTCCCAAGTCAATCATTCCATCTTGTCCATAAGGACATCATAAGGAAAATTACCAGGTGTGTCAATAAATTACTGCTATACTTAGTCTGCTACCTTTTGTCAACTACCAGTCTGACTTTCTTGTCAAAGGTGATGAGTTGACCCTGACAGAACCTGTTCTCAGTAAACTCTTGCTAACTTCTAGTGATCCCTACTTCCTTCTTGTTGTAAACATAAACTATCCTTTCAATCTCCAAAGCTGTCATTTCAGGACTCCTAAAGTAAGAAGAGATCATCTTACTTATGTCATTTGATCATAGATCAATCTTTTTATTTATTTTAAAGCACATATATTGACTTTTTATTTTATTTTTTTAAATATATTTTATTGATTTTTTACAGAGAGGAAGGGAAAGATATAGAAAGCTAGAAAAGTCAATGAGACAGAAACATGGACCAACTGCCTCTTGCACATCCCCTACCGGGGGTGTGCCCACAGCCCAGGTATATGCCCTTGACCTTTCAGTCCGCAGATCCATGCTCTACCACTGAGCCAAACCGGTTTCGGCATATATATTGATTTTTTAAAATCCTTCTTCTAATAATACAAAATTCTTAGCCAATCTCTCTTTCTCTCTTCTGCTCTTCTTCTCTCTTTCCCTCCCTCCCTCTCTATCTGGCATTTCCTGAGGATGGAACCACATCTTATTTAACTGAGATCCAAAGCCACTAGAATAAGAATCAACACATAGGACCTTATATTAGTTTCCTAGGGCTACCATAATAAATACCACAAACTGGATAACATAAAAGAGCAGACACTACATTTCTCCCATCAATGTACTAACCAGGCCTGACCCTGCTTAGCTTCCGAGATCAGACGAGATCGGGCGCGTTCAGGGTGGTCTGGCCGTAGACTAGACTCCCACATTTCTGAAGGCTAAAAGCCTGAAACCAAAGTGATTCGTAAACTTACAGGGAAACCCTTTTTTGCCTTCTCCTTGTGTTTCTGTGTTTACATGGCCATCTTCTTATAAGGACACAAGTCATATTAGGTTAAGGGCGCATTTCCTCTAGTATACAATGACACTATTTCCACATAGGGCCACATCTGAGATACTGGAGATTAGGAGTTGAATGTATCTTTTGAGAGAACATAATATAGCTGCCAACAGCCCTCAATGAAGGTTTTTGCAATAATAAAGAATGAGTAATACCTTGTATAATGAGAGGAACAACAACAACAAAAATGACATAGCTCTTACTATCTATCTCTTCCAAGGCTCCAACCTTTGGCCTTTTTTTTTTTTAATCAGCCAGCTAACATGCAAGAAGCCCGGGATCTTAGCACTTTTATAGAGGACTGGAAAATACTCGGAATCCAAATGACTGAATCTTTAAACAAGTTCTTTCAGAGAAGCATTTTGTTCAGTCACTTGCAAGACTCTTTAAACCCAATACAGTAACAATGGGCCTGCTTCTGGGACACCTAAGTTTATGAAAATATTCAAACTGAATGATCCCTGGTGAATGACCTAGTTATGTCTCTGGGTAGAAGCTGTCCTAACCCTGTGAGGCATGCTAGAAGCCTAAGCAG